ATGAATAAGAATTATTACCATTGCCGGTCTCGCGTATTAAATAACCTCGGGTGGAATCATGTTTAGATATTTGATAAAATATATAAATTATTTGCAAAACCATTTCATCGTCCTCTTGTTTTGCTATAAGAATTATTTTTGTTTGAAAAAATGAGAAAACGACAGTCACATTATATTTCTAATAATGTACAAACCTTTGAGAAGTTCGATGAGGGAAAGCAATATATCTGCTTTACATAATAGGCGCGCACAATCTTCGTCGAATGCAGCCGTGCCCAGAAATATTACTATTTCAAGCACTAAATCATCCGGCGCTTTACCTAATTAAGACACTTGAGATCGATTATAAGCTTAAAAGATTTTGATACCCAATACTGTACCTGGAACAAGGTTGTTACGAATCCAAGGTATCAATTCGCAGCGATGCAATATATGAGAATAATCCAGGTCGGCCAATTCTAAATTACCTAAGACGCCTACGACTTCAAGCACAAAATCTTGTGAATCTGATTGATTTACAGCCATAGCAAAATCACCGACAAATTCCTGAGTTTAAAATAACTTTTAGAAATATCCATATGTGTTATATCCAAATACCATGTTCAGATTCACGCACTGAATTGAATTACTCACAAGGAAGTGGTATTTTGTTGACTCGTGCTGAGAAATATTTCGAATCATTTTCATTATTAACGGATCCTGGGTACGAAACGCTTTTTTTATCAGGCCTTGTAAACGATTATTTTCTATCATAAGCTGTGCATTCTTGCTATTAATTGCTAAATTTATAGCAAGCGCTATTAGTTCCAGTTTCGGTTGATTATCTTCTGAGTTCAATATCATGTTTGTTATCTGAAACACATTCGAATGTTACATAATATTTATGTAAATTATGACTACTGTAATTTTATTTTAAAACTTACCATTTGAATGTAGTCAGTATTAGTAAACATAGACTTCACTTTATCATCCATACTGGCGTGGTATAATAAGCCAAGAATCGTGGTTTTATTTTTAATATCACTCTGGCCTAGTAGTTTAATTAACTTCGGTAATAAGCCTACTCTTATCATTTTGGCTCGAAGCTTCGCGTCAAAGGAAAGATTGAATAGTAATTTTAAAGTACTGAGAACTAAATCGGGACTATTGCTATGAAGTAGCCTTGGTATCTTTTCAATAATATTCTCTTCAGCCATAAGATCCTTATTCTCACGAAATATGGATAACTTTTTTAGGAATGCAATCACAAGAATTAGTAGGTCTATATTTGTCCTATCCAAAGTTTTAATGAGCATACCGATCACGTTTTTCTTACGCATCTTTCTTTCAACTTCCATGTTTTCAGCAATATTTAATAATAAGTAGAACGCCACTCGCAGCAATTGCTCTTGCTTCTTCATCAAACTCTTGAACTTTTTACGATTCTTTTCAAGTTCTTCTTTAAGTTTCTTTATATCGCTCTCAGTTACGTTGGCGCTCGTATCATTAGATCGCTTTTTAATTTCATAATCTAAAGGACCGTCCGTATTCCAAATGTCGTCAACCATTTTCGTTTTCTTATCACAGTTATCGTTCCCGCTTGAGAAAAATGTTAATCCCGTAGTATTTTCGAAATGACGTCTACGTTTCTCCATGTCTTCTTTCCACTGGTCGTATCGACGTAATTCGAAGTCTATTATATCCATGCAGAGAGATCCAATCTAGACATAAACGATTAATTATTGAATATAGTATGCATTTTTACTATTTCTCTACTCTGTACTTACTCTGTACTCGAGTACAATATTGTGAAACTGACTGTACGTTGCAAAGCAAAAGAAGATGTACACAATGTTTGTAGACAATTCTATGCTACGCCTCCAATCTTCTCTTAAAACCCTGGCCAAAGCACTTAACAAAGATTCTAAAAAGATGCAGACCAGATGTATGTAATGTACGAAGAACATAAATTATTAGTATGCCATGTAATACCATTTTTAGATAATTCATGAAGATTATCAGGAACCCTTGCTAATTGTAGGATTAAAGAGGAACCTTTAATTTTTCCTGGTATCTCTTCATATAATAATTCGATATAACTGTCTACATTACTTATGACAGCACGTTCTGTTTCACCATTCTCTGTAGATACTGAATTAGATGATGCTGGCCTTGACGGTTGTGTACTATTATCACTACCTAACATAAAATAAGTATCACATAAAAAGAATATGCGAGTCACCTCAAAGATAATATCCAAAGGTAATTACTTATGCCACTATCATTTGTTTTACGGTTTTGAAGATAATAAATCAACTGTTCTACTTCGCGAAGTTTTGACTCATGTATTAAAGAACATTTCTCAATAACTTCTTTAGCTAAAAGTGCCACATTAGTGTCTGCATTCAAACTTTTCAGTCGAATTATTTTCTGACATTCCTGCAGAAAATATATTACTTATAATCATGCAACTGTTTACGCAATAAGAGAATACATTTAATTATTATCTTACTTTACGATCTCCCAGCATAGGATCCCCTAATTCACCCAGGATCAATGCTTCAACATCATAATTCACTACCAAAGCCTTTTCTGTTGGATGGACATCCAAGGTACCAGACCTCACTTTCCTAATCATTAAAAATGCAATCATTTACAGTTTGATGACAAGTGTAAATGATGAGTGATACAATATTAAATATAAAACATAATTCGTGATGAAAAATATACAATAATGAATGACATAACTGCATAGCGAAGAGCCTACCGTTTGAGAAATTTTGCCTCATCCATTACGAAAGTACGATTCTGCTTTGTCAAATTTTTAGTAACTATTCATTTCCATGGAAGTCAAAGCTAGAATCAGATAGAAACACAGAACAAACACAGCAGAACAGTCTGGTCGATTAAAGATCTTCGTCGATCGAAGGTTTGGAATTATGTGCAATTATGTGTTCCTTCTTTAGATTCGAAACAGCGCTATCTATTGTAATATAACATGTCAATCAGAGAGAGGAAAGACTTGGGCGAGAAGGTGGACTTCCAAAGACGGAAGGGGGAAGCAGACTCCACTGCATTGACAAGAATCCATAGTAGTTATTGGTAGTTATCACACACGAGATATATATACAGTATTCTGATATTACCAAGGAGATCGTCCCACACCCCGCCAAGGCCGTTGAATGACCTCGCCGCATCCACTCACCAGCCGACACGGCGTGGGCGTGGGTTTGGTAGTGATAGTGGTAGCTGGTAACCTTAGCTCGTGGCTTGTATCGGGATGATCGTGACCGTGACCAGTCAATGCGGTCAATCCCGGTTGGTCTGATCCCGGTCCCGGTCCCGGTCCCGGTCCCGGTCTCGCGGGTCTCGGTTCCGGTTGGGCCGTGCCCACGATCTTATAGTCTATAAGATCGTGGCCGTGTTGGTGTTTTTTGCTCATGTGCAGTGAACGAATTCCAAAATTGCTGACTCTTGAGGATGTATTGGCTATACAGTCAATCCCAAAAGTTTATGTACCTTAGAAAAACGCATTTCCTATAATTAAAAAGAAATCAAACGTCGGAAGAACAATGCTAATAATAAATAGCTACGTGCTAAAAAGTATGGAAGGAAATATCCAATTAATTATTGACGATAGCGAAAAGTTTATTATACAGAAATTGTAGGCATTGATGTCCTCTACAAGAAAGATTCTATGTATTTTTCTTCTAACTTGAGTACTTTAACGAGTTAAGTTTGATTATTTGGCATTTTATTGGCATTGACAAAATTCGACTAACCCACTGTCGAAACATCGAACTTTTGACAAAAAATTTCTTTTTTCTTCAATAACTCCTAAACCGTTAGTTCTACGGGAAAATTGCATACAACCTTTCTTATAGAGCGTAATGAGATCTACAATCTCTGTATAAAATTTCTTCGCTAGCATTAATAGTTTACGAGTTATTGACGAAAAACGAAAGAACAGTTTTTTGCAAATTACTCGTTAACTATTGACGCTAGCAAGAAACTTTTATACAAAAATTGTAGATCTCGTCGTCCTCTACAAGAAAAGTCCTATGCAATTTTTCTGTATGTCCAACGGTTTGGGAGTTATTGACTAAAAACGAAAATTTGGAAGAAATTGAAGGGAAACCCCCTTGGAAGAATCTCAGAAAAATAAAAAACTTTTTTTGTTGTTTATTATTAGCAATGTTCTTCCGACGTCTGATTTCTTTTTATGACAATGCGTTTCTAAAGTGCATAAACTTTTGGGATTGACTATATAAGCAATACATCCTTAAAGCGCAAATGGTTATTTCCAAAAAATCCATTTACCAATTATTGTAAATAACGATCCGCTTAAATGCTAATGTTAAAATAATATATTGCCGAGAATAATAACCACGCAAAAGTTTTTCATACTTACCGAAGATACATAGCATAAAAAGTATCTTATACAAAAAAAAGTAATAAAAAGAATCATGCATCAATAGTACTAGGTATAATAACATATGAAAATAATTGTAAACTAATTTATTTTACTGGACATTGCATTAAATCGGAAGGAAGACTTTATATGTCTTATAACTCGCGAATTTGTCGAAATATGTTAAGAGTAACATTAATTTTTCTCATGCTTGTTTTATCTTACACACTTCTTTATTCATCCAAGACAATAAATAACATACTTAAACAGTTTAAATTACAATTATTCTCGTACGAAATGATTTCAATGAATTTTTCATAAGAGTCCACGAGAGAAGTAAATTATTTTTGCACGCACTTTCATTACTACACAGTTAAGTACGTAATTATGTTTAGCAAAAGGAATCATATTGTCTCTCAGATAGGGCATTTGTAGGATGCAGAAAGTTAGGCGTCTCGTATCGAAGATTAATCAATCAGGAATGTAGAAAAAATGAATAAAATTTGATATTCTTTTCGGTTTAGTGACTGTCTTTTATGTATGCATGTGTAATTATTATGCTTTATGTAAATGTTTGTAGAAAATCAGCTTTAAGCTACAGCGTACAGTATATCTAAGAATATAGTATCAAGAAGTATCACAATTAAATGTTATATTCACAGTGGACAAAATCCGACCAATTAGAATGTTATAGTTTACTCAGTTTTACATTTGCTAAACGTAATACCCTTTGAAATTATTAAATAATTTCTTCCTATTTGGCATTTAAAGAACAGCAATTTCCTACACAATGGTCGGTTCCTTTTATACGAAATGCCACGTTGAAAACAAAAAAGAAGTACACGATTTTTATCAATGTGTACAAACATATAAGTAGTGCATCACTTAATATTTCACATTTACGAAATGATTCTCGCTTAGCCGCAATAACACAGAGTTTCTCGAATTTGATTTAGATTTTTAAATGCATTCATAAACCAGTTCTATAACATAATAATATAATAAATTGTCTAGCTTATTAACCGAGATGCAATCGGTCAATAATAAAAGTCACGCACTTTTAGATAAAAGCTTTTCTTAAAGTTCTTGATGTAACTCTTCTTCAGTACTTTCACGAATTGTTTCGGAATCCGTATCCTTCGACGATTTCGCTCCTTTTCCCGTATCCGATATCTTTTCATTTTGTACTTCTATATTATCAGACGTATCGTCGCTCTGAAGACTTTCCGCTTGAGACTCGGTCGTTGATTTGGGAATAGATTTTGATCCTCCTTTCGTATTTGTAGAGTTTTCATTCGTACTCTCAGTTTGATTTGTACCAGGCTCTTGTTTTGGCTTCCATATCTTCGCCTTATTGATGAGGTACTTTACTTCTCTATCAAGCAATGCCATTTTATTTGCGATATCACGAACTTTATGTTTCACTGGTTCGTACAAAGCTGTCTCGCTAAATGATTTAACGACTGTATCGTAATAGTCCTGTAAAATTATTATAAGTTCGACGTTGTTCGATCAGCTTAAAACAAATTGTATTTATCCGTTTGAGTCCCAAAAAGCACTATTTAGATTTCATGTCGAAAAATCCCAGTATTCATTTAAGATAACCACTATTGCGGAATTCGGCATTTCTCGACGACGTTTTTATAATGACCCCTGGGATTCAAACAGTTAAGTTACTTACCTGAGTTTCATTAATTACTTTCTCCAATGTTTCGACCTCGACTTGCGTAAAAATTTCACTGAAGTAGCTTGTGTTGCGTACGTTAGCTAGAACACTTTCGCTCGCCTTCAAAATAGTAACCATGCCTTTCAATACTTCTGGACGTTCTTTGTGTTCGTAAACGCGTTCATACACATCGTTAGTAAGTTTTTGAAGTTCCGATAACTTTGTTTCGTATACTTCAGCAGATGCACCGAACCCATCTTCGTATAACCATTCGGAAACTTCAGAAGCTGCTTTCAATATTTTTTCTGCTTCCTGAGAAGTGGCAGCAGCAGCGTACTCCTCAGACTCTAATCTTTGTTGAGCATCAATTATAAATGTTTCTAAATTATTCAAAGCTGTTTCGCGCCTCGTTTTTACGAAATCGTATACATCTAAACGATGCAATCTGAAATTATCATTCAAATTAAAATTTGCATTGTACATTTCACATAAAGTTGTCGTAGAATTTCTGTTCATACTAACTTTTCTCGGGATTCAGCAAGTTTATCACCAGAAAGTATTTGAGGTCCCAACTTGATTTCTTCTGCTTTAATTGGTTCTTTAATCGTTACTATCGTAGATTTTTTCTCCTTCTCTTTTTCTACCTTCTCAGTTTTATTTGCGATTTTATCTTCGGTAATTGTACTTTCATTTTTCTTCTTCAGTTTATCTTCTGTCTCCTTTTCAAGTTCAGGATACTCCTGCTCTTCATGAACTGGTTTCACATCTTCTTTCGATGATTCTTCTGTTTTCTCTTCTTTGTCTTTATCCTCCGATCCTAAATATTTGAATTACATTTACTTAAACATTTCATTTATATGTGTACAAAAGTTACATGAGGTATTATTTTATAAATGCCTGCAAAAAATAGTTTAATATTCAAAAAAAAAATAATTGTTAATTTTCGAAATTCTACATATTTAATCGAATCTCATAAATAAACGGAATCCATGAACAACTAAAATAAATGCTCACACCATTTTTTGCAATGCATTCAGCACAAACCTGCAAAAAGTTTACTAATAGTTGAGCCAAGTATTGAGAAAGTACCCTCTTCTTCATCAGGAGCTGCGCTTGATTTTTCTGATACTAATTCTACGTTCACTAAATTTAGGATACCACTTTCATCCATTGCAAAATGTGCTTTGATTCCTTTATTCTCTGCGCCTTCTTTCGTATGTTTCTCTAGGGCTTCAGTCACACCAGACAAAGTTATTGTAGACAAGTTGAAACTACCGATAGCTCTAAAATAAAAATGTACATCACATAGTAACATAATATTCTACATTAAATAAAAATTGCCAAATACCACTTACGTTATTTCATTAGGTGGCAGGTAATCCAGTTCCGCATAATTAATGTGGAACTGAAAGTTTTCCGTGTATTTACTGAACGTAATGATTTTCTTTTGTGGATATGGATTCATTTTGCCAAATAATGATTTTTTCACCTAAAAACAATATGCATATAATGTCCTGTATAAATAGAAACGATTAGACTTACTTGTTTCACTTTGTTATCAACAGTTCTATTGAAAACAACATGTATGGGAAATAGTACAGCATCTTTGGTAACAAATTTCTTCACTTTAAATCCTTTACTAAGATCCGCGGCTTTATATACCGCTCCCAACGCGGCCGCCTCATCTGTATTAATATTTTTCGACAACTCGACTGTTAAATACTGACTTAAATATTCTTGTATCTTTGGCATTCTCGTACCAGCTCCCACTAATACTACTTGAGATATGGCCTCCATCGTTAAACCCGACATTTTTAAAGCAATCTTAATGGGATTCACTACTCGATCAGCTAAGTCAGCGCAGAGTTCTTCCAGTTTTTCTCTAGTAACTTGCACTCTGAAATCGTACTCGTCTATCAATCCTTCGATTTGAGCATAATGGTCGGTGTTCGCGCTTAACACGTTCTTTACGCGACCAGCTTCCTTAAATAGTTTCGCCATCGCTCTTGGATTGCTAAATACAGAACCTGTTGTTTTGTTCAAAGCATCGAATTGCTTGGCTAAGTGATGTTGCAATCTGAGTTGCACTTCTAAACCTCCCAAAGTGCGATCGTAACCCACACCCAAAACGCTAACGTGAGGATTAGTTTCCACGAATCCCTTTTCCTTAGTTTTTACATTCTGATAACTCACAACTGTGGCAGTTGTGCTACTGGCTCCCATATCGTAAAACATTACATAATGCGCAGTGTCATTTATTTCTTTACTACGAAAAATCCCGTAATTTAATGCGACCGCGGTGTAGTCATTGATAAGTTGCAAAACTTTAATTCCTGCAAGCTCGGCAGCTTGTGCAAGGGCTCTCTTTTCAATTTGATTAAAGAATCCTGGGACAGTTATCACTGCTTCGCTAATCTTTTGACCAGCAGAATTCTCTGCGAATTCTTTTCCTTTGTATAAAATTTGTGCAAGTAATTCTTCTGGCGTGTACGTAGTATTTTCATTCAATCTAAATGCTATAGTATTACGCTCCTCATCGGAAACAATATCATAATATGGAAATCTTTGTTTGTGAAGTTGTACAATAGGATTGTCTATAGATTTTCCTAGGAGATCTAACATGTAAGAAAAACTATGTTGAGGTGACTTGATTCCCACTCCTTGAGCATCTTCTCCGAAGCTCCTTTCTCCATTCCTAAATGCAATCGTAACTGGCGTTTTTCTCTTTGACTCTTTGTTAAGAGCTATTTCCATAGGAACACCAGGCTGTACAAAATATTGATTAATGTTATTAATAAAAATGTATACTAATATAGAGACAATAAAGGTACATGACCTGTGTTTTACTTACTGAAACAATAGCAACTTTCATTGACTCACTACCTATGTCAATACTCATAACAGCAACTCCCAGACTATGGCCAATAAAAATTGTGATAATAATCAATATCAACCAAAAAATAGACATTGTTAATTTGCTTAGTTTCATCTGTAATTGAAAGCAGATACAAAATAAGCACATGGAACCTTCATTCAAATTTTACTTTTACTAACATATTTATTACTTATATTTTGAACACTATTAATTTTTAGATAAATACAATTTTGTGTTATACAAAATTTGTTTGTAGTTTAAAAATAGTAATGTGAAGTTTTTTTCTACTTTTTTATGGTAAAGATTTTTTATAGACAGATTTGACAGAATACTTGGTGTTCGAAAGTGAGTTTCCGCAAACGAACAAAAAGTATTATTACGAATTACGAAATTTCGCTGTGAAATTGCTTCAGTCACATAAATAATTCGTGTAAAAAGTAATATTTCGATGACACGAGGACTTCCATAGGACTGTCAATCTTGGTTAAAATAACCGGAGAACTGAAATAAAGTTCCAAATAAATTTACTCACTTTTCCCTTTTATTGTAAAAACGTCCGATTAACGATTAGAGAACCGCTGTCCTTAAATCATCAGACGTAGGCAAACGCATACGTTCCGTACTTTGTTTAAAGTAAGAAAAAACAATGTACACCTCTGACTCTGACTATCTCGTCAAACTGAACAAGAACCATGTGTTTGTGTGGCACAACGGGATTGGTAAAAGAAGATGGTAGAGGTAGAGAATGTTCACATTGGTCCTCGTTGGCAAATCAAACTTATATAGGTAATCCGTTATTCCACCCCCACTATCGCAATAAAACTACTTCGGAAAAACAATAAAAAAATTACTTTTCTCGCGGCTTAGATTTCAATGCATACGTTTAAGTATATTTAAGGAAATGATTAGAATTAAAATTTATGTAGAAGATATCTTACAAAGAGGGAAAGGATTCAAAACATACTAATACGTAGATATATGTATATATATATATAAACGCAACGATAATTTATTTTAAAAAAATCGCGTACAATGCTGAGATTTCAGTCATTTAATTGTGAAGGGCACAAATGCAAAATTTGTTAACTGACCGCGAAATGATGTATAGACAACTGTTTATTAATAAACAATCTTATCAAATTTGATCCTTGCATCTTATAATAGAAAAAGCTATCACAAAAAGGCATGTTTTACATGTTATTAGACAAGTTATATATCTATCATTACATTACACGTTATTTGAAAAGAAATTCTTTATATACGTGAATAGTGCATTCCCTATGAATGAGTAAACATTTAAATAATCATTTGTATGTACTATATATAAGGTCTAAGTAGAAACAGAAAGAGCTGTTCAATATTACACTGAACTAATGCAACTTGTTATTAATACAATGTGTGGTAATTATTCCTTCTTCTTCAGTATAAAGTGTCCCGTACTTAGCTATTTGTTAGAACTTGAATAGTCTGTGCAGAATTTATAATGTACACTCATCTGTTCTTCCAAATTTATATGTGAGGGATCCCAAAAAGATGAATATATTTTGTAAGAAGAGACCTACTCCAGGCCAGTGATGTTGGGCTTCTGCGAGAACAAATAAATTATAACATTTAATGGAAACAATTAATCTAAATTATGTACAAACCTGCAGCTACAAAATCTGCAAATAAAATCCAACAAGCTGCGATTACTGCAGCAAATCCTATTACAAACCCAACAAACAACCAACTTCTTGCACCTCTGGCTCCAAAGTAGCCCCCATCAAATGATTCACCTCTAATTTGTGCATTTGACACAGAATTTATCCTGCAAGAACCATTGGGATTTTCATTTCCTATTGTACAATAAAATTTAATCAATTCCTTACATGAATAGAGATATAGTTCCAAATATTCCACAAACATGATAAGCTTTTGACATTTCATCGGGATACTTGGCATTGGCATCGATGATAAACCACCATCCTACAAAAAACTAGTAAAAAGAAGGCACTGTTATTAAATATAAATAGTATAATAGAAAATAGGGCATATATGTGTATACGAAGACATTTAGAATATATAAAATAATGTTTACCAAAGTTCCGGCGCATATAGATGCCAATACATTTCTTTTCTCGCCTATTTCGAACCACACGCACGGAAGGGATTGTAAATTTTCCACGAAGGAAGTCATCTCTCAAACTTCGTGATAAAATAACTCGGAAATTGAATTTTACGATTAAAGCTAGCCTACGAATAACAATACATATCAATCGCCAATATCACGACGAGGTATACACTATACAGTCATTGCGCAGGAGCATTTCTCCTTTTATACGCCACTGTGGTATTGGTATTTCATCCCATCCAGCAACACCGATCCCATCCCATTCCTACCAATTCCTACTTGTATTCATGGACGTGAGCGGCGTCGGCATTCGGCATCAGATTAGATCAGAGTGTGGATTTGCAGTATTTAACTTGAAGAATGGCGGCGAATATTAACGGCGTGTTCACCGAAAATTTGCAAAATGCGATATTGGAAAGTAAAGTGCTTGTCGTGGGTGCTGGTGGGATCGGATGCGAGATATTAAAGAATCTTGTTATGACAGGATTCAAAGACATCGAAATTGTAAGAACATTAGGATTTCTCAGAGAATTTTTACGATACCCTAACCGTATTCTGCATTTCTTATGCACATTTATGATTGTTTACTTAAATGTGAAAACCGGTATGTATAATGTGTAAACCTAAAACGATGCGTATTATTTGCAGATCGATCTAGATACGATAGATGTTAGCAATTTAAACAGGCAGTTTCTATTTCAAAAGAAACATGTAGGGAAATCAAAAGCTGCTGTAGCAAAGGGGACAGCGTTGACGTTCAATCCCGATGTAAACATAGTTCATTATCATGATAGTATTACATCGTGAGTATTTACATATTTTTTAAATCAGGATTGTATTTCCATGTATGTAAAACTTTATATTTTAATGTTTACAGTCCTGATTATGGCGTGTCGTTCTTCAAGAAGTTTACATTAGTCATGAATGCACTTGATAACAGAGCTGCTAGAAATCATGTAAATAGAATGTGTTTAGCAGCAGAGGTACCTTTAGTAGAATCTGGTACAGCTGGCTATGAGGGACAGGTAGAACTGATAAAAAAAGGATTAAGTCAATGTTATGAATGCACACCAAAAGCTGCACAGAAAACTTTTCCTGGTTGTACAATACGTAATACACCCAGTGAACCGATTCATTGCATAGTATGGGCGAAGCACTTGTTCAATCAGTTGTTCGGCGAAGAGGATCCTGATCAAGATGTATCACCAGATACTGCTGATCCAGAGGCAGCAAATTCTGCAGGAGAAGCTGCTTTAAATTCAGAATCAAATGCAAAGGGAAACGTTGATAGAGTATCGACCAGAGCATGGGCTCAATCATGTAATTATGATCCGGAAAAATTGTTTGCAAAATTATTTCACGATGATATCAAGTATTTGCTTAGTATGGATAATTTGTGGAAGAAACGAAGGCCACCTACTCCTTTGAATTGGAAAGAATTACCGGATGGAGTAGCAGGATGTAGCAAGGAAATAAATGAATCCGGTTTAAAAGATCAGCAGCGTTGGAGTATTTCCAAGTGCGGTACAGTATTTGCCGATGCAGTCAAGTGTTTAAGCAATGCATTAAAAGCTTCTCAGGAAAAATCATCGAATAACCACCTCGTTTGGGATAAAGATGATCTGAGTTCGATGGACTTTGTGGCTGCTTGTGCGAATTTAAGAGCCCATATCTTCGGTATACCTCAAAAGACACGATTCGATATAAAATCAATGGCAGGGAATATAATTCCAGCGATCGCGACCACAAATGCGATAGTTGCTGGTTTAGTCATCCTCCATGCATTCCGCATTCTCCAAAACGATTTAAAGGCATGTAAATCTGTGTATTTACGTTCAAAAATGAATCACCGTAATCAGCTGCTAGTACCAGAGAAAAATGTGAATCCGCCGAATCCGAAGTGTTACGTATGCGCGCCTACACCACAAGCTATATTAGCAATTGATACGTCTAAAGTAACGATCAAAGAACTGGATGAAGTAGTATTAAAAAATAGATTGAATATGATTGCTCCGGACGTTATGATAGACGGTACTAGTAGCGTTGTTATTAGTAGCGAAAAAGGAGAAACTGAAGAGAATAATAGTAAGCTCTTGGAGGAATTAGGGATTAAGGACGGTACCATCCTTAAAGTTGATGATTTCCAGCAAAATTATTCATTAACTGTGACTGTGGTCTATCGAGAACGACCAACTTCAAAAGATGATAGTCCCGATTTTCTTATCTTGGCTGATGAGAAAGATCTCAAACCCAAAGAAGAGAATGATTTAGTGAAACCATCTACTTCGAATGGCCAGGTCGAATCGTTTGCTGACAGTGCGATGATCGTTGAAACTGAAACTATTTCTGATACAAGAAAGAAACGCAAAACTGAATCTCCCGAAGATAGCGTGTCCTCGAAAAAACGGAAGTTGCAAGTTCACGATGTCGATGATGATATTTCTATCATTGAAAATGACATGAACAACGATGCAACTAGCAGTAAAACAGAATCGAAAGTACGTAATACTTTGGAAGACGATGATTGTATGATTGTACATGATGACACTATACAAACAGCAGCAGTCGCGCAGTGAGTCAGTGAAACATTTTTCAAATTAAGAGAGATTTGGGTAACGAGTATATTGGTAATTCATATTAAAGTAATGAAGTGTACAGAAAATGTACATATCCAATGGTTTCTACAGTACATTTCGTGATTTAAAACTTCATATAATTTTCCTGATAGATGTCATTTTTTTTTTAATAAGTAACGAATATGAATAGTGATTAAGTTTGTATGGCTGCAAACTATGAGAATGAATAATAATGAGTGTGTATAATAGTGAATATTACCAGCAATTTCCTTTGATTAAACGTATTTTGATTTTTAAAAATGTTTATAAAAGGACATAATATTATGTTTCAAGTACATCATCTCGTAGATTGTAACTATGGAATACATTTTTATACAAAAAAAAATAAATACTTTTCCTTACTGCAAAGTTACGTCTTCCCACTACAAGCTAAGGTTTTCCAAATTTCTTCATCGCACAATTCATATATCGATTAACATTGTAGTTGTACATTTGAAAATCGATTTTATATTTCTCGTATAATTTGAACATCGCATCTTCTGTCAAATTTTTGAAGTATTTACACGTAATATCAAAATTCGTTTGCCCGCCTCGTGTTTCTTCCAATTTTGGAAAGTACACTTCGTTCTTGTCCAGGTTTAATTTCGAGAAAATGTAATTAATTTGTCCGTATGTATAATCGTCCAATTTTAAAACGTAATTATATCGTATACCGCAAAGAGCACAGTGCGTATAATACGGAGTCCAGTGAACATCATCTTCATCAGAAGTTTGCACTAGCCATTCCACGAATTCTTTGAAAGTCGGCACTATTTTCAATCTTAAGAAACAAAGGAATGTGTATTAAAAAAATGATCCACAATTTAATAAAAATTCTGTTAGTACAAAATACCTTTTATCAGGTGTAAATACTTTATGGCGGAAGTTGCCAGTCTTCGTGTTCGAGTGAAACAGTTTCGGTCTCGTTAGACGAAATATCTTTTCCACATAGATCCATGCTTGTGCAGTGCATTTTGAGTTGTCTTCTATCCGATCTCTATTAGAAAATATGTTTTCATTCTCATACAATATATTAAAAAAGGAAAAGAATTGTACCTGTACGAAGACACGAGTCTCTGAAAAGGGTGTCGAACCACTAAAAGTTTGAATACTTCTGCGTCTTGAGATGCAAGTTGCAGTTCCTTTAAACTACGCGGTGCTAAATTATTAATTTCTCTACAATCAATTTAAATGTTAACATATCAGTGGAATAAGAGACTAAAGAAGTACCACTACCTGTAATAATTTTGTGTAGAACGATTCTTCATGTCTGCGAAAAGTTTTGTAAAACTTGTGGAAGCTACTTTTCGAATCCAGCAGTAAAGTGACTTGTGTCGAGAATTATACAAGAAATGCCGTTTTGCTAATAGAGTTTTTAAATTGTATTTTGCGCATACATTTGTGATTTGTCGCAGAATCATTGCACTCTCCTATTTTTAAAAAATGCCAATGCGTTTATGAATATTACGAATTAAAAAATTGTTTTGTTACCTGCAAGTTGATCGCTTCTCCTTTCATTTCGTCGTGTTCTAAAAGTTTGATTTCTAAATCGACTGATCTTGTAGTTACTCGCGACACTGCAGAAGGACATTGTCTAGTTTGATTACATTTTGCAACTAATAAAGAAAATTGATATCGCGTCATATAGGAAGCCTGTTTTGCTTTTAATAAAAAGAAGCACATCGCAAGGTAGAAAATAACGCATAGTACACATTTCACGAATTGTGTTTTAACCGACATGATTAAAAAGGAGATGTCTGTTATGCTGACAGTTTCCTATCAAGATTAAAACATCCGTCCATGAATTCGTGGGGGTGAACAAAAGATAACACTTATCTTTTATATTCAGTTTATATTTATATTCGGTGGAGGGTAAAAAAGAAACAAGAAGAGATATGTTGTTTTTCAAATATTTACTATGAAATAGATCAAAAATCATACTATATAAATGAATGATCTTAATACATAATATTCGTAGTGTTTGGGTGTTCTCGTAAGCAGTAAACTTGAAACAATTAATAATGTAATTGACGATTTGTGATGTGTATAAGTAATTGGAACAAAAATGTCTTTTCATGAAACGAATGATCAAAATTAAATAATATACATGGTAAAATGATTTCTGGAATACAGTGAACGTAAATTTTTGTCGACGGCAGTGATCCATGGTAAAACATTTACAATTGACTTGCGAAAATTGATTACGAAAATATGCACATCGATTAATACAAAACGATTACACCGTTACATTTTCTACGACGAGATTGATTCACAATTGAATTTATTATTAATACAAAATAGACTGAAACGTCGATACGTATAAATCTTACAAAAATATATAGATATATGTAGTTCTTATACTGAGCGTAATAAAAAAATAGGAAGTAAATAAATTATATCGAATGTAAGGGATAACTTGATTTGCATTAATATTAAATGCATGTAACACAAGATCGAATCAATTGTGAATCAGATGCATAATTGATTTTTATTATTATGTGACAATGTACAAAAAATTGATTAAACCATTTTTAGAATTTTATTGATTTTAATTGCAAACAATTCGATTATACCTGTCAATGTATAAGTTGATTAAAAACCGAGTGGATCCCACTTGTGTGAAAAACTTCACACTATTCACAAATACAATTCACATGAGTAAAACTTCGAATTATTCTCGTCTTGATTATTATTACAAATAATTGTTTGATGATTAAACACTTTCTATTTCATGATTAAAAATGTTGCGATATTTTGAAAGCCCTTACAATGTGTGCATTGGGGAAATGAAGGAATAGATGAATGAGGAGCATGTACGAAATTTCTTATCTACGGTCTCTATATCTGTGGTGATGATCGCGAGATGATCGATGATCATTGTGTCGACTGTGGCGACTTGTAGTTCTCCATAAAAATTCGTCTACGCTCCTTTCGTAACTACGTTTCTCAAGTGCCGAAGCTGCCGCGCTATAATCGGGCGGTAAAGGTAAACCATCGTAATACCTGGGTGGTGGCGGTGGCGGAGGTAACGAGTCGTAAGGATGAGGTGCAGCATAAGGTGGTAAGGGAGGCAACTGGTGTTGCATAGTACGCATATAATCCGCGACGTACGCTTCGGCCGCAGCTGCCACGCCTAAACCTGGGCTACCGTATCCTCTATAAAATTCGTAATAATTAAGAACGATGTATTCGATCTACGATAGTTTATGCGGAAGTATTTACGTACTTGGAATAAGGAGAATCGCCCCGATTGAACCAGCTAGCGTATCTGTGATGGTGATGATCTCGCGACCCTCTATGATCATTACCTAAATGAGATCCTCTGGCTAATGAAGCTAAACGAGATCGCGAAGTTAAAAAGAGTCTTCGTCCTCTGCCACCTCTCGAACGTAAGAATCTAGGACTACTGTTAACAGGTCTGTTATCCCGATAAGAACGGGATTTCGTAATATGCTTAGCTGCCTCTTTAGATTTTCTTAAGATCGGGGTCATCTCGATTCCTACAGGTTTTACAACATATTATAGGTAGTGTTTTTTCTTGTATGTTAATTCCGATTATATTTTTTAATATACCTTCATCTTCCGGAAATAGTCTACATAATTCCTCTGCGACTCTTGGTTCGATCTCTTGTCCGTCGCGACCAATTTTCACCTGTTTGCCATCGTTCCATGGATTGTACAAATGTAGCGTTGCTGTAAATGGCAATTCCTTCCTACATATCCAATCAACTTTAAATACGCCACCTAAAGCTTTTGCAGACAATCCAGGTGGCAATACCTAAAATTTGCATCACACTTTCCTCCTAATAATGTGTAGAGTAACGTCGAACCTCATATTTATGTAACTTAGTAGTACAAACCCATGAAATTGGTGCTCCATCTCTTCTCGATTCTGTACTGAGCCTCGCAAAGCCAGCAAACTTCCCTGATTCTTTTACGGAAAAAACAAGTAACACGTTCCTCGATTCTCTGTAAGCCTGATTCAAGTTGGCTTCGTTTTGGGGTAACGTGCTCCATACTCCTTTAGCCTTTGACAGCGTAACATTCTCAGCATTGTTGGATTTGATGATGAAAAATCTGATAAAAAAAATCTTTAAGATACACGTTTCGCATTCATGCTACTATGCTCATCTAAACATTTATGAATCACTTCAGGTGATCCTAGTACACACAACTGAAATTTGTATTAATTAAAAATCAAATTAATGCACGCATAACAGATAAAGGTATTCCAAAAAGTAGCCAACCTTGCGTCTCTAAACAAGTAATTTAATTTCGTAGCGTAATCATAGCTTTTAGTAGTGTTCCCCTTGCTCTCTTTAGATCTCGCGCGTTTCGTTTCAGGACTAGAGGATTTCGATTCTCTAGACCTAGCACGTTTTCCTCTGCTCTTCCTATTGCGCTTATTGTCTCCGCGTGAGGATTTTGTCGAAACCGAGCTTATACTCGGTTGACTAGAATCGGAGTTCGAACTACTAGATGAAACTTCACTACGTGTATCGTAAGTTTCATCCGCAGCAATTTTTAACTCGTCCACTATATCATTCTCCCCACAGCTCAGATTTAAGTTGTCTGCATCCGTATTACTGTCCATAGTTTCACTTTTCATTGATCACTTTTTCACTATTGCCCAAAAGTATATTGTCACTTGTCCCGTCATCCAGGATTTATATTTCTGGATTTTTCGGGTTTTCTTGCATCAAGCCAATGCAGTTCTGGTGCCTTTAAACCTTTTCTGAAACGCAAATATAAAAAAGGGCTTACTAGATGGATATCCATCGCGCAATAGTAATTGTCCAAGAACAATATCATATTTGAATGGATCTTGTAGGTCTTAGAACAATTGACACAGAAGAAAATAGTGTAATAACATTCTTAGTATGCAAGAAGAAAAGTTCAGAAGATTGCACATTAAGTCACTGTGGTAAAAGATTAAAAAGTCCATTTGTCAAAAACTCTGATGTTGAAACTGTCCTTAGATAAGTTTTCTAGATACATATATATCTACTATTAGCGTAAGATTTCTTGCTTTTCAAGTAGATATAAATTATCCCTAACAGAAACAATGTTTAATGAAGAAAAAGTTCTTTCCATTTAACAATTCACAAGAGTATGCATGAATATACTTTAAACAGTAGAGATTTCCTTTCTTTAATTTAATCAGAGTGTAGCAACACAACTGTTCCTCTATGAAACACAAGTATTTCTTTCTTAAACTTTCTATGTAAAAGTTTATTGTAAAGTTTATAAAGAGTAGACGGTCTTGCTAAAAATCTGTGTCGTTTAGACTAATACGAGAAGCGAAGAGTCTTCGAGATCTTTTGTTGATTTATCTCAGATAATAACACATGATGTTTGTTCGATGTCTTATGTGCAGTCCTTTAAAACGCGAAGGCTATGGTGCCTACGCTACGAAAGTTCGTCGTAAATATTACTTTTTAATAGCAATAACGACACCACAAAACATACTCGAAACCATCATTCTCGTTTCATTGATTTCTTTTAAGGAAGTCCATGGTTTGCAAGCTGATCGTCCTTGATGTTATAAACCCTTTTAGCCAGCTCGTACACACTTACGTGCACACTCTTTCTTCACTTAACACACTTCGCACCTCACGCAAAAATGCCTAATGATCATCGTGCATGTTTCAACAACTATTTCGGTTACTTCTCTTCACAAAATACACAAGAGAGTACCACAAATAATCGTGATTCCTCCCATAAAAACACAATAAACATCTATCTCCTCGTGGATGCACAAACCATGGCATCCATTATGGTCATTATGTGACGTGTTCATTCTTCACGATCGATACTTATACGAGCGATCGTATAGTTAAAAACTAACAAACAAACTTTCTCTTAATTTCAGTAATCCTAAAATTATATGTATAATTTAGTTTGTACAACAGAGTGTCTACAGACTCATTGAGGTAAGCGTAGAGTTCGATGATCTTGCATTTAATAAATAAACATATATGCAGTTCATCTTCTTGGAAATTCTTGTAGCGAACTACTACATGCAACTTTATAGAACTAAATTGTTCATATAGATCAGTTAAAATACATTCAACATTATATTTTACTACAGTTGAATAAAGAATATGCATAACGCACATAACAGATTATTGGAAAATAAGAAAATGATATGTTTTTCTTCTGCATGTATAAGTTTATCCGAAATTAAAATCCCTAGCTTATTCGCGATCACCATCTTCAAAGAGGATGACAACCATCTTGGATCATTTTTCACGGGTTGTTGACACGGGTAGATCACGGCCGGTTGTGAAAGTGCTTCGCGATGTAAAATTAATCACGATTAATTGCCGGAAATAAGTAGTGGTTATTTAGAAGCGAGAATTATAAGTGCGATACCGGTCCATTCGAGTAATTCAGATATTCTACGAATATTATATATGAAAATGCGAAGAGATTTGTGAAAATATAAGCGTCTGTCACGAGTATAATCAATCTTGACAGAGTCAACAGTTAAATCTTATCGTATTTATTCGAAATTTCTTCTAAGGAAGTATCGTTCCAAGTGTTTCATTTATGTGAGAAAAACAGTGTCGTTTAGAAATAGAAGATAGAAAACATACTGAAAACACATCTTACGAAAAGAAAATGGTTTCATGCACATGGTGACACCACTGGTTAGTTTATACTTTCTATAAACAATTTGTCATATTTTATTCGAAATCATTTTAACTTGATCGTGTCATCGCGTTATCGTTATCTACCGATTAGGAGTTAGTCGAACGCTTACGTATTATGCTAAGAATCTTAGCGATGATAAGCATTATTAGAAACTTTTCAGGGGCTTCAATTCTTTCGTGTGATATAGCTTTATCATGGCGAGATGTAACATTCGTTTACTCAGCTTATTGTAAACATTAGACATTATTAATCATAACGTATTATTGATCTTTGAAGAGAATCACGTTATCGTAAGGAATGTTGCGAGAAATTCTTAGACAATCCAAAACCTAATTTTCAAGTGGATCAATCGGAACACCCTTCTTTTTCTATTGAAAATATTTAGCTCACTCACATTAAATGAATTCGTATTGTTGTCCATATATAAAAATGTCGGTTTCATAAAAATTTGGGTTTCATTTTTCGTATATTTCGAGCGCGATATCTATAATTAGGAAGTGTTGATAAAAAATCAATATCATTCGTTATTTATTAAAACGACAATTAGGTAAGAAATTAACAATACACAATAATTTATCGGTTTTCTTCTTATTGAATTTTGCTGTTAAAATAACACCGCATACCTGCAATTAATTTGTTCGAGTTAGTCGATAATTTTTATTAATAGGTTTGCTAATTAGTACTTGAAGAAGATTAATGCTATTAGTATCTTTAATATGCACCTTGGAACACTATAAAAATATTGTATAAATAAGAGAAAGTTTGCTACATTAACCTTATTATTTACTTTATGCTACATTTATCTTGAACCTATTATTACAAAGGTATGCACATTACATATGCAAAGTATATATAATATAAGAATATATAACGTGCACATGCTTCCACTTTTCATACTTCAACTACAGAGAAAGGATTCAAGTATTGATTGCAGGAGCATGGTGTGCTATGGCAATAGGAGGAGGGTGAAGCCCAGACAAGACCCCACCTCTTTATACTATGCCTTCCATTTAACTCTAACTTAAATCATTTCAAACAATCATTGTAAATATCTCTAATATGCAGCATAATAAAATATTTTTCTTTATTATTGATACACCACGCATATTAAACGATATACATATATAATACACGAATTATACGATATATATATATATATATATCGTATAATATGTGTGGTAAACGATATATATATCGTTTAATATATATGGTCCTTTCATATATATATCGTTTAATATATATAATTATATATTTTACATATAGTAAAATGACTATGTTTAAATATAATTTTTATTAAGTTATAATAATTGGGTCACTTCGTATGGAATTACAGTGTAATTCTTTTCTAGGGTATCATAAAAAATGACAAATATAAAAAAGATATAAATGACAATGGGCTGAAATATATATTAGACTAAAACTCTCATCACTTTTATACAAGAGGGATACAGGTAATAATTAATAAGCTGAAATCATTGAAAAACGATTGAAGTTCAATATGTTACTATCAATATCTTTTATCACTTGTTAAATAAAGGGACATAATTATGGCAACAGTAGAAGAGAAGAAACGAGTCGGTGGCTCAAAAGTTTCAGCCATTGCGAATATCTTCCAATCAAAACCGCAATTGGATAATTTAAGCCACAGAACAAATAATATTCTGTCAGATGGTTTCAAGGAACCAACTGTGCCTTTAAAAGAATCTCCTACACAAGTCACAGTTGTTAGGACCGAAAGCCATGTAGCTCGTTTTAATAACGCACGTGCGCTTTTTGAAAAACTTGGGGAAGAGAATAAGCCAAACAAACCGTAAGTGCATAATGCAAAATAGGATATCGATGTTAATGAATCGTGCAACACGTTCGAAATCTATTTTCTGTGTAGGGTGGAGAGGATTACTAAACCGACTAATTTACATGGTTTGAGATCGCGTTCGAGTTCTGCAAACTCCGGATCGGGTTGTACTTCTCCCGCTAGATCGCCGCGACCTAGGTCACCGTCGCCTCCAGGAACCAGAGATCATTTGAGCAATTGGAGCGCGAGTGTGCCAGCCTTGAATGCTGAGAAACACTTTGAGAACGGTCATAATCACGGCTTGGATAATGATAAGCACAAATCGCGAGCAGGTTTAGGAAAGTTTGACAAAAATTATGGCAAGGAAAATCGTTTGGACGATCGACCAGAGAAGCCGGAGAAACCAGAAAGGAGATTGAATTCGAAAGAGTTGATAGAGAAGCAAAAGAACTGGACTAGCCATTTCTCAAAGACAAGACCGAGCAGATACAATTCTGATCCGAACCGGTCCGTGGTTCAAAGTTCGCTAAATCAGAGTACGAATAAAGCGAATGTCGAAGCTTCCGTAGGACACGCTCAAAATACGAGCATCGATCATGAAACGAAAAGACCGACAGATATTTCTAATCCAGCTACAAGATCCGCGAGCTTCTGCTCTGTCAGATCATCGGCTATATCACCACCTCCACCGCCGCCACCGGCGAGGAACTCTTCAAACGCCAAGAAAGAAAGACCGGCCAGCATCGCGGCTGTGTCTCCGTCAGATATTCCTAGTAGTCCAGAGTATGCCACCATAAACAAATATTTCGATACTTCGCCAACTATACCTGAATACGCAGTTGTACAAAAGAATACGAATGTACAAAATAAACATTTCCAAAGAAATCAAGAACAAATCTCGAAGAACGTTGGCACACCTGCATCAGACACAATTATACCAGAATATGCAGTAGTGCAGAAGAATAGTGCAGCTAAAGCACAGAAGAATGCAACTCAACATTCAAAGACTGTTCACGGTTCCGAGGGTACCTGTTTACCTTCCAAGAATACTCTTGCAAGTTCGAGTATCGATATTTACTCGCAAACGAAATCACATGTTTCCTATGAGAAAAATTCTGACATGTCTAGTCCAACGAGGAGTATGTCAACAGAAAATATTAGTAGTATGACAGTGGAGAGTAAGTCGAGGAAAGAGAACGATTTGCTGGATGCTCCTGAATATTTACATTACCCTTCGAACGTCATACGTTCACCGCCCAAAACCTCTGAGTGGAGAAACGAATGGTTAGCCAAGAACGACGAAATATTGAAGAAGGCAGCGGATCTAAAGTGTTCGAGAGAAGATTTAGAGGTAAAAAATGAAGTTGTAAGACCTGATCCAAGACCTGACTGGGCCAGACCAAGTGTAAAGAAGAAAGATAGCATGACCGAGGAAAAGAAAATAGAGCCGTCGAAATCCCCGGACCCGGAATTAAGACCACCTTCTGGAGGTACGGATAGTGCATCTTCTAGTATGAGCTCCCCTAGCTCCCCTTCCAAGGATAGTAAAGAAGAGAAGGCAGATAAGGAAATGTCAGAAAAATTTCAAGCTGGTATAGTATACGTGAATAATTCTCAATAACATGATTCACATCTCTACAAACATAAAATACATTTTACATGTATGTACAAAAAAAACACATTCAAAATTATCGTACGAGAAGTCGACGTAAATTCTTTTGATTATAATTATTTCCGATACTTCGAAATTTTGCAATTTTATTGTGGCTCCTTGCCAAAATACTAAAAAGTAACGAAGGAGGAAGCTGTCCTCCTTTCCCCTTTCCTCCTCTTCTTGATCTTAGTTCCTCCTACCGGTTCAACAGCATTATTTATAGAAATCTGTGTATTCTGTTCAGCTTCTGTCTGGTTCTACTTCACATCATTTATTTCGGAAAAGTATTTCACAAATTTTGTTGATCTTACCAGTGCTCATAAACGAGTAGTTATAAAAAATTAATATTACTTAGAAAGTATTTATTTGGTAAAAAAATGGACTTGCATAGGATATAGTATATTGTTTGTATGAATTGAGTTTCTTTAGTATGGTCTTTTAAAGAAAGTAAAAAAGTTACGTTAAAAACAAGTTAAATTAAAAAGTGAAATTAGTGTTCTTATCGTGCATGTGAATTCTGTTTTATTCTGTTCGTACACTAAAAGCGTACAAGCACCATGTGTCTTCGATTACTTTGTATTGATTGTCGAGGTATTTTATTATACACCTTTTTAAATCTTTATTGCGATCTTTTTCAAATAACATTTCGATATTTTCTCTCTCTTTCTTTTCGAAGGTCGTAACAGTTATGACTTGCAACCCGAAGAACAAGAAAAGCCCGCAGCCTACACTGAATCAATTGTTGAGAAGGACAGTTTAGAGAAAAATTCAAGATTCAACGAAACGGATACCACGACGGTTATCCGACGATCTCACATACGCGTTGATCTTCAAGCTGCTGGTTTAGGACAACGGCCACCGTCCGTTGTTAGCTCGGATCAAGAATACCCACCTTTAGAACATAAGGATATACCGATACCTTCGCCATACGCAAAGAAAATGCAACAGAATCAAGAAGCTGCTGCTCCGAACAATGAAGTCAAGCCACAAATAAAAACGCACATGGAAGAAAGAAGCGATTCAACGAAAAGTTGCCATAATAAAATATCTCAAGATAGTAATCAAGATCATGCACGAGTGAACTCAGTGATTACAGAAGTAAATCAAAATATAGTGTTAGATAATAAATCTAAATCAAATGTCGTGAATGAAAGACATACATTTCCCGAGAATGTATGTCAGAAAACAGTATCCAATGCCAAAAACGATCAGATTAAGATCTCTGTACGGGAAAAACTTGCGAAGAACAAGGAGGAAGTGTCTGGGAAACGTTCAAGCTTCGCCGAAATGGATAATAAAGTGGATCAAACGGAGAAACCCATTTTGAATGCGAGTCAGTGTTCAGTAGTTTCAAATGTTCATAATACCGAGAACTTGGCAGACAAGTTGACTGGCAAGGAAGCAGACGTAGATGATCCATCTAAATTCGTATCGAAGACAGGTAGCAGGAAGGAGTACGTAACATTGGCTGGAGATGCAGTACTACCGTCTGTGATCAGTTCCCAAGCAGTAAGCAGTATCGTGAATAGAAGTACGGAACAATTAGAGCAACCGCAAACTACGTGGGAACAAGAGAAACAGAAAGCTGAACTGGCGAAGATGAGATTACAAGAAAACGCGACCCAACAAAACGTATCACCTGCAATCGTAAATCAGCAGCACGTAGAAAAGAAACAATCGAATGAATATATCGTGTCGGAGAGTAGCACGCACGAAGACAGTGATTCTAGTGATACAAAAACTATTACAAATCTTGAACATGTACCAGCGATGGACGCGAAAAATGCAGCGGAACAGAATCATTCGAAGAGCGCGATTCAAGAAATTTCCAAAGCTACTGCGCATCAAACGATTCCTATAACACCTGACACTATGACAGCTGATGAAGCAGAAAATCTGCTAAGCTCGCGGTGAGTTTTTTTTAAATAGTTCGTAATGTTAATAACATAGTTTTGTTAGCAGATAGTGAAATAATGTAATATGAATTATATAGTTGCACTAAAATTTTCATATAGTTTTTCACATTTCTCAGTTCTGCAATTATACTTCTAATTCTATAGCAAATAATTTTGTGGCAAGACAGCTTGATCAATTTTATTTTCTTACTTTATTCACCTATTCATGTTTATTTCAATATGACCTCCAATTCGTTATATACTGGGGCCAAATCACAGCATCCTAGAGAAAAAGATACGGTGAGTTAATCGTTTCCCTAAATGTTCACTTCATTGATCAGTATGTTAAGTTATAAAAGAACATCGTGTATCATGTGAATAATCAATTAGACAAGGATCAGCTCTGTTGTCCGATGAGGAGGCACAGGAAATAGCAAGACTGTTATCACCCGCCACGCACGCTGAAGTTGTAAGTGAAGAAAATTCTGTTGATAAAACTAGAGAAATGGACAAAGAGAAGGAAAGGGATGATCAAGACAATACACCAGATTGGCTTTCCGATGTGTTATCCGCACCCGATACCAGTCTTATTAATAGCACCACTAATGATTATAGGTGAATCAGTTTGGTCTTTTATGTTTTTTCCGTTGTATATAACTATTTTGCAGCTCATGCCATGTATTGATTTTAATTAATTTTATTAAGTGCACATTCATAATATTGTTTAAAACGACCGTAACAATTCCTCTTTGAAGGTATGTTAAATTTTTACGATTTTTTAGTTTGTCTCATAGATCACGTAGCGATTTAACGATAGACTCGTTGACAGAGAGTCAAGTGAGTTCTGTAACGGGTAGTGAAAGCGGACTGCTCGGATCTGTTAATAGTTTAAATGATACCTATGAAAGTAACGATGATACGGAAACGGAACATCAAGAAGAATACGTTCCCCCGACACCAGGCAAAGTTGTAAGATTACAGATAACATACCTTATTGTCTGTATTTAAATAATAAATTTAGCTTCAAGCTGATTTAATTTTTATTCAGGTACTCATAGAGAATGGTGTACATTATTTCGAGGATGGTCATTTCTGGATGGAAGTTGCCGGGATACCTGAATCGGATGATGAGAAAGAAGATTACCCGATAGAAATACCTGTTAAAAAAATGTCTAAAGTTTCGTTCGACACGAAACCAATGAGAGTTTATTCAACGCATTCAGTAAACGAATACGATCGACGAAATGAGGACGTGGACCCTGTTGCTGCCAGTGCAGAGTACGAACTAGAAAAGCGAGTTGAGAAAATGGAGGTGATTATTTCAAGTGAAACTGAACGTAAATATTTCCTTGAACGTTTGTTCTTTAATGAACGATTTGTTAGGTATTCCCGGTAGAACTTATGAAAGGTCCGGAAGGTCTTGGATTAAGTATTATCGGAATGGGTGTCGGTGCGGACGCGGGCCTGGAGAAATTAGGCATATTCGTGAAAACCATTACGGAGAAAGGTGCAGCTGCGCGAGAGGGCAGAATACAAGTAAACGATCAAATCGTCGAAGTGGACGGAAAATCTTTAGTTGGCGTAACACAAGCGTACGCGGCTAGCGTGCTTCGTAACACTTCGGGTCTTGTGCGGTTTGTGATCGGTAGAGAACGTGATCCAAACTCAGAAGTAGCTATGTTAATTCGACAGAGCCTTCAGGCGGACAAAGAAAGAGAACAAGCTAATTCTGCTAGGTATGAATCACTTGATTTGTGTTTTCTTTAAATATGATTTCCCGATGATGGTTTATCCTTGCTCGCCAATGTCTGTGACGACAACATTATGGCCACTCCAATGACGGCACGAGGCCTCTTGGAGCGCTGAGGGAAAATGATGCTTTATAAGTCGTGTGAAACATTGAACACATCAGATTCTAAATTATCTGCACATCTATTGCAGAAAACTGAATTTCTCGGATGCGTCACCCGATGGGCAACGAGGTGGCGAAGAGATCTCTTCCGGAGGCATGAGCGGCATACCCGGTTCTCCGGCTATGTCATCCTGCTCGGAAGGAGAACCTCCGCATAGCCCTATAGAAAACTATTTATCATCTTCTGGGCGAAGTAGATCTCCTATCATCAGTTCATCGATGCCACAACACGGATCTGCTACAACGCAAAGCGATGTTGATAGTTTAAGACTACTTTTACAGGAGGTATTATGCTTTCGCTGGTACAAAAGAATTGCGTAGTGCGAAGAGTACACAATGTTTTGAATGCATACTCATTTAGTTGAAACAAGTGAAGTTTATTTTTTTGCATCCACGTATATGAGAAATATGAGAAATTTACCATGGACTCATTGTTTCTCAGTTATCATAGAAAATTTTTGTTGAGTTTACGTAGAATATCGTTGCATAGAAGATAGAAAATCTATAGTAATAGTTTTGTAATGAGATGCACCGTTATGTTTGTATATATTTTTGTATATATCTGCTTTACATTGCTACTATTATGTACTACACTATGAGCACACTCTCATAGGTTTATAAAGCGTAAAGATATTTTTGTTTTTGCTTATGCACTGTGTTCATTGTTCACTGCTTGCAGAGTCAATATAAACTAGCATTAGCTGATGGCGAGGTGGAAAAGCTCAAAGCTAAGGTAATCACCCAAGACGAGCTATTTTATGCTTTAATTTGTGAATTTATGTGCTGCATAATTTTTTCTTTACTTCATTTGTTATATCCTATTTCGTTATCCTAACACAAAGGTTTGGCGACGAAATATTAACTCCTACACACATTCGGAAACACGAGATCCATCGGAAATTTCTTATTTACAGCTCGTAGACTTAGAGAACAGTGGAGCTGGTAGCGAGGAGTACGCAGCGAAGTTACGCGAGTCCGGCTTGAGACTTCACGAATCTGAAAGAACTTTAACCGCCGCTAGACAAGATTTGACAGCTACACGGGAAATGCTTTCTCAAGCAACGGCACAAAACGCCGCTTTACAACAAAAGTATGCTCGAGCCAGGAGAGCAGCTCGCGAATTACGCGCGGATATCGCCGCCAGAGATGAGTTTTATCAGCAATTATTGCAGGAAAAAGATACCGAATACAACGCTCTTGTAAAAAGCTTGAAAGACCGGGTACGTTAGTATTATAAAATACGAAAGCGAAAGTTAACTAAAAAATCTATGTCTGTAGGTAATTACGTTGGAAGTCGAATTAACAGAAACGCAAAGAAGATTTGGTTTACCAGCAAGATTACCGTATGACGGAGCTACGGCTAGAATCGTAACGCCGCAATTATCACGTCGACAATTACCACCTCCTCCCTCGTCGAGTAACTGTCAACTTTCCGACACAGAAACGTCGGATCTTAGTAGTCCGGATGACGGTGATAAGACAGCGACTGTCGAAAGGAAGTTACCGCTTCCATTACCAGTCAAAGAGGAATTGGACCGAGCGGTACCCGCTCATCGACTCCTTGACAATTCTGCTGGGAAGAGTAAAGCTGAACTTGCCAGCAGAGGAGGGCTAGCCAACCGACAACTTCCTAAACGATCGGGTGGCCTTAGCAATAGCAGTTCTGTGAGTATATGAGAACAACTTTGAAAAAACGACACGTTTGTTTAATCGATCGATGTTTCAGGACTATGGTTTGGACGAATCTGGTGACAATACCGACGAAGACTCATCTTCGAAATTAATTTCCCAAGAATCGAGTAGTAGATCACCGAATGACTTAACATCCAAACAGTCAAATTTGAGTTCCTATTCTAGTACTTCCTCGATTGGTTCTCTGAAAAGCAAACACATGGAACCCACGCATCCTACAACAATCCGACAGCACAGCACCATCAGTTCACAAGTTAGAGCTATGACGGAACAGAGTTGGTCGCAATCTCAGAAAAGTAATTTATTTTATTTGTCTTTTCTGAGTACAACCTGTGTAATGCCTAAAAATTATAATGCTGTCATCCTTCGTAGATCTAACTGGACCACCAGCTTCATTTGCAGAACAATTGGAACAGGTTTTAGCTGAAAGAGAAAGACGACTCGGAGGAAACGATATGTCTTCGTCCAGAGAAAGTTCTGGGGACTTCAGCGATTTAAATAATCCACACGCAAGTGACCCAGCATTGGTTACTCATCATTTAGTGGAAGAAATACGTCAAGCTGTAAACGAGGCCAATCAAAGAGGTATTGAATATGTTCAACCTCGTACAACTACGGTCAATCGTTCACATATTTTTACAGTGAAAAAAGCTACTATTCCTTCGTCGAATTTAATTGGAGGCAGTTCAACACCTTGGCATCATCCAGGTAGTTCACCCTCTAGTCTGTCTTCTGGTGGATCAGTGAGCCCACCTGCCGTTGATCCCAGTCCATCAAAAACAGGTATTTCTAATTCAAAATATGAAACAAGCAGTGAACAATCCCTTATTTTATTTTATTATTTGTCCACTTTTCTTCGTCGTCATTTCACCCTTTCCGTGTGTAAACGAAATTGTGAATCTAGATACGAGTGAAGTTTGGTTGCCTCCTCATCCAAGCGACTTTGGTTTAGGTGACAAGAAATCCCATTTCTGGCAGAACGCTCCAGTTACCGATTGGTCCAAAGAACAAGTAAGCATGCGTACAGATTTATTAAGAGCATTGTTACATTTGAAAAAATCGTATTAGGTGTGTCAATGGTTGTCGGGAATCGGTTTGGAAGTTTACGCGTCACGATTTTTGGATACTGGAATTAATGGTGGGAACCTTTTGCGACTGGAATCCCGCGACTTGAAAGCTTTCGGCATGTACGGTGAACAGAAGTGTCATTTAAAACGGAAACTGAAGGAGCTAAGAGCGCAAGCGGACCGGGAGCGCAAGGAGAGGAAAGAAATGGAACGAATGCGGCGAAAAGCGGAAAAAGCTGCGCGGAAGAAATAGTTTGTGCGTACATTACTGTACTTATGTCTTCTATAGAAACGCAATAACTGCACAAAGAAGTTGATGAGATATTCAAATTTTCTGTACGATATTCCAGTGATATTCGTAATGTATTTTAACATCTTCCGTCTCTATTTAATTCTCTACATAAGCAGTCACAGTTTACTAAATGTTCTCGTTCGGATTACATTCAATCCGAAATCTTGGACACTTGATTATTTATATCCATTGTATAACGTTTTGATCTTCAGATTTTTGCATTTATTTATAATCCTTTGTATTCATGTTGCTTCATTGTTCTTGTAATATTTGTAGTAATTATTATTTATAAAGTAACAATGAATACAGCTAGATAAAGAGAACGTATGACAGATCTATCATGCCAGACGTATGCATGTAATATGTGTGTATAAAATCCAAGTCATTTTAGATAAATTGTAATAAAACTTGATCTACAATTTTTTTACAATTGTAAGTATACTTTTATAGGCATAAGTTTCATGTTATTAGAATATATCGTTTCTGTATTTATTTTTACTATCGATTTAATTGTAACAATTTTTCATAAGGAACAATATAAATCCTGGTAAAATAGAGTCTTAGAGTGTGTAACTATCGCTGAGAAGAGAAGTGACTGTCCTTTAATATGTATGTACATCATAAAATATCAACGAATTTGTAATTATCGATACGGTACGCGTTATCAATTCCATTGTAGATTAATCAGATCGCGATATATAGTCCATCTAAATTTGCTCAGTAATTAAAGCATAACTAGAAAACCTTTTTTATTCAATATCAAATAAAGTATTAGTACATTTCTATTATGCCACCGCCTTGATATTTATATTAAAAGTCTTTCTTCATTTTAGTCGTGACAGCGTTTACATTATTGTATTATAACTTGCGTATTAAGCTCGCACAACGTCGGTTTTATTGCGACGCTAATTATTCAATTATGTGATCAATTTCCTTAACGTTTTTTATATACTTCCATACATTCCATGCGAGACCTTTACACGATTGTATCGTTATTAACGTACTACAGTAAAGAAGAAGAGTACTATCCTTCGAGCAGAGTCCCTGCGAATACATCGCGTATCGAACAATGTATGTTAATATTATACTAGTATCCTAACATTCAAAGTACTTGTCCAACTGATTTAATGGGACTCGCTCGAGTACAACATAGACATGGAGGAATGTACTTTGTCGCGCGTATAATTATAATTATTTATAACAGCATAAAAAGTTTTTGTACAATGTTAAGTACTTTGTTGTTCCTTCACATCTGTTCTGAATGTTAAATGTTTTTCTTCTTGGAAGAAGAATTTCTTCTACATAGGGCAATTAAATAGACAAAGTATTTAACATTGATGCGCACAGTGTACATATATTATATAATGAATTAATATTATAATCTTAATCGAATGGATTACGATGTAAGGCGTGTAAGAGGCATAACTATCGTAGTGTCATAATATCTTTAGAGGGTATAGTTTTTAATTTCGTAAGTTAAGCGCGTTTATCGAAGGTCCTCCAATTTTTAATAACACTACTATGTGTCACGGTATCTGTGAAAGTAATTGATTATTGTTATTTTTGTTGTTATGTACAACGAAATGTGGGAACTGATCAAAGGATACGATGTAACATTCTTGCGTCTCAGGGTAATTGTCAATATATTTCGAAATATACGTGTGTTCAATGACTGAGAAGAAAATTTCGACAGACACTGAAACGTCCTGCAATTCGTTTTTAAAATAACTAAGTATTGTGATTTCGCATGAGCAGACGTTTTATAAAAAAAAGAAAAGGAACCGACTGATTTACAATAAGTTTTTGTAGTTGATTTTCAGTGGCTTATGTACGATGTATAATGAAATGCCATTTGTCCAAAACTATATTGTAGAAACGATACTTATATACCCTATGGAGCTGCATAATATCTAAATGTTTTTCATACATTTTTCAATCGTTTTCGAAGTGTTGCTCACACGGAAAGGATATACACAGTTCCACGGATAAAGACACAGTACATCAGTTGTGTAATCGGCAGCTTTTTAAATAATCTATGAAAAGTATTGTCAACAGCAAATACTCTTAAACGTTTTAATTAAAAAGTAATTCGTACAGTACTTTATTGTAGTTTATTCTTTTTACCTAAACAACAGCATACGTACATGTGCATTGAAACAGATATTCGACACTCGTATTGTGTATTATACATGTATTTAGAATGCAACTTTTTATGTACGGAAATGGATCGTAAATACATAATGATAGAAACCCATTAATCGTATTCCCATCAACTCAACTCAATGTTCGATTTAGCGATTGGATACCGCGAAATGTTTGATCGATAAACGGAATCACATGCTTGAGGAACGAGTACGTTCAACGACAAAATGCCAATTATAGTTGTTAAAGATTATTCTTGGCGTCAGACTTCAGAATTCGTTATATTAAACGTACCCTTAAAAGGACACCCGAGAAAAATTGATCTGTTCATAATTGATAGTTACGCAAAGGTATAAACTTTATTTACGATTTATGATATGTAGATTAAATGCAGACATTTGATCTAATGACAGATAAGTTTTCCACCATTTATATTGGAATTATTTCTTTGGGCGAACGTCGTTGAAAAAGAAAGCAAGTGCACGTTAACTGAACAGGAAGCAATACTCACTTTACGTAAAACTAACATCGGCTTAGAGTGGCCTACCCTTGAAGTACAAGACATTGACAATGATTTTAAACGAGAGTGTCGAGATCGAGCTTTAGAACAAGCTCATAAAGTTGCCGAAGAAAACACGAAAGCTAAAAGTGGTGTGTATCAACATCCGTTCAATGAGTTCTAATATAGTAACTGATCCGTAATCCTCAGAGAAACGTCAACACTTACAAAAGGAAGCGGTGAGAGAACAGATCAACATTCACACGACTACATTAAATAAAATAGACGCAATACGAAATGCACATCGGAAAGAAGCTATGCACGAATTTGAAGATTGGAGGTCAAAAGCTGAAGTGCCGTTTCTCCCAGAAGTCGAGGGAGAAGTACAAGAGAACAGGAAAACTTACAAGTATTTAATATTATCGTAAATATTAATCACTTCTCCATACTTTTTTGATTAAAACTTCTTATACGCTTCTCGTAAGGCCTCCATTAAAATGGTTTAAAGACGAGAATAATGAGTTAAAGTCTCGACCAAAAACTGAAGAAGAAATATTTAATGGTGACGCTCCTAAAAAGGGTGACAAGAATATATTAGAGGTGCAAAATGAAAATCAAGAAAATGAAACGAAATCATATAAGAAGAAAGACGATATATTGGAAGATGTAGGCGATGGTATTTCTGAGGACTCCGAGTCCGATTGCGAAGTAAAAAACAATTCAAGTGATAAGAAGAGACGACCGGGATTAGATGCTGTAAAAGCTGCAATTGAAGGAAACTTCTTCAAGAAAAATAGTATATTCGAAGAGCCCGAGAAATCAGTACCATTACCAAGAAAAGCGGGTACCATTAACGTCACGTTTTCAGATCGAAAATTTCCAACACCCGCCAGAGAAAGTTCTCACGTTGAGGAACAAGAGGAAAATATTTCTGCCTATCATTTTTTAGTAGAGCGAAAGTATACAACTAAACTGACATTAGCATAACATTGCAGTGGTTGCAGAAGCAAGCAGAAGCGAGACGTAAAATTGGTTTCGATGCGGACGATCTTCGACCGGAAGAGCGAGATCCACAGTGGTTAAAGGATAAAGGCGAGTACGTTTAATATACTCCTACATAAATATTAATGGAGTACAAATAATTTATAAACACTGAATGGTCATCTTTTAGCGATTTCTTTCGAGTTGGAAACTACCTGGCGGCTATTAGCGCTTACTCATATGGAATCAAGATCAGCGATAGAATGGCATCGCTTTACGTGAATAGATCCGCAGCACACTACGCATTGGGAAATTTCCACAGATGCATCGACGATTGTTCTAAGGTAAATTATTTCAATTATAATTCAGATAGATAAGTTTGAGTGTGGTCATCTTATTGTTTTAGGCATTAGAATTAATGGAACCGAAATGCGAAGGTAATCGAGAATCAAGAGCCAGGTGCCATGCTCGACGGGGCGCAGCACTCTGTAAATTGTCCGCGCCTCAGCACGGTGTTCCAGAGTTAGAGGCTGCACTACAATTAACGCCGGACAATGAAAGTATAAAACGTGACGTACTGGCCGCAAAACAATACTTCGACATAAAAGAGTAAGTAGGTAAACCAGATCATTTGTTTGATCGAAGCCGGTAGAAAGCTATTTGTTCGTAGGGAGCTCGTAACGAAATAAAACATGCGGTTGAAATAGATAATTTATCTGAAAACATTTATTAATTCAATACAAAAAAGAAAAACGTGCAGTGCTCTGTATTACGTTATAATAAAAAAATATCACAGTCGCTAATTCTGAAGAATGATTAAATAGAGGAACTTACATATCTATTCTATAACTATGTCATATAATTACGCAATTGTAAAAAGTAATTTTGGTACATTCCCATCTTTCTAATTAGGAACTAAGCAACTACGTAATATATTCTCTTAACAACAAACACTTTGTTCAATGCCTCGTCGCTTGTCTTAAGACAAATGTTTTAATCAATCGAACTTAATCATTTTCTTGTCAACGCACCCACATTTCGTGTGTTCCAAGGCGTGCACTACTTCATGATGCCTGTCACGTTGTCGATCGATCGTGTGTTTCACCATAAAGACGAGACTGACGTTTCTGGTCTCGATCGGTGCGCAAATTTGCTTAGGATCCGGACAACATCCAGCTCCGTTGCAACGCATTAGAACGGTAGAGGCAGGGTAAAAAACTTCGTCCGGGCTGGGGCCAACAGTTAAAAGTTCTTCTACTGGCACGGCTCTTGGCTGTGGCGCAGAGCATCGAAACTCGTGTACCAGTTGCACATGATTCAAGAAACTACTGTCTCTACAATTTTTATAATACGTCTGTCAAATCCACGTGACCGACATACACTTGAAATATCAATGTGTGCGTAATAATTTACCTGTGATGTCTGCCAATTACGGCAAAGGCAAGATGGATAGAAAATAAGAGAAAAACGAGCTTCTTCATCTTTTTTACAAGATGTTTTTTTCGATTAAAGTCCGGCTTCGAAGTTTCGTACGTTTGAATGGATCACTTCCAAATGCCTGTGGCTTCTGCGATCTGAATTCTTTCTCCCTCTATATATATGTAACTTTCATCCTCGGCCTGATGCCCTCTGGCTCCCCTCTTTATTTCTCGTTGCTTCTCTTCGTCGATCTACCTGTGGTCGCATCGTTTCATCCTGCGATTCGCACCATCTCCCTCTTGTTTCTCAGTAAAGTCGAGGAGGACTCGAAGCAAAGTGTTCCAGGAACATCGCGAAGATAACTATAATTACAACTAGTGGGTCCTGCCTCCCGTTCGAACTGGGACCGCGTTGCGTCGCGTGACCAGCAGTATTTTCCTCGTCGATCACCACTTTTCTCTTTTCATCGTACATTGCCTCCTCCATGCTATACGCCGAAAATCCAGCAGCGATCATTTAAACTATCGCCCGCCTTTTCATTCCTTCTCTCTGTGCACCCAACTGCATCTGAAGTAATTCGTACGAAATTGACAATTCTTATTTGAAATTCCGTGAAGTATTTAAAGTCTGTCAATCGATGGAAGGATCGAAGGAACGCATCGAAATAAATTGAAAAAAATTCGCGTTAGAAGATCTGACAATAGAATGATAACGAGGAAATAAGAGGAACTGTTTAATGCAATGGCATGATAAGAAATGTGCTACGACTGCTTGCTGCAGAGGTATAGTATGCATATATACTACGACAGGTTGCAGTGAATCAAGCACGACCGTCTACTGAGTGTCTGATTTCAAGACTCATTCATTCTCTCGCTTTTTATTTTCGCGGAAGCATTAATTAAAGTGTCGTAAATTAGCTTCACGCGTTACCATTAAATAAAAGTTGTGCCTACAGTGACAAATTTCTTCCACGAAAGGTAAGAGTCGGTATCGGGTTGTCTAAATCGAGGCTCACGTTACTCGAATATCCGTTATTCACGGAACTGAGTCAATGGTATGCGAAACTATGAATCATAATTGAAACTTTGTGGGTGTAGTATGTCATCAGCCTTGAAAGTAGTCATTTCGCACGTCATCGAAAGAAATCATTCTTTCCAATGTCGCAATCGAACTTTCTCAGGTAAACTTTCTCAACTTTGGTAATTAAAATTTGCAGAAAACTGTGTAAGTTACATGGGTTTCCGTGGTCATTCACTTACGCATAAATTATTGCATAGTAAGTTAATTTATTTATAGCTATATGAGTAAACACATTCTGGAAATACACATGCGTGAACAGGATCAACTACCTACGCGCGCAATGAAAGAGGAATTATAAATGAGTGTCATCTCATATTGTAATGGGTATCCCCGTTACGTCAATCGAATTCGTAATTGCTTAAGGTAACATTCGCACGCAAGTTAATGCCCTCGGGAGTATTATTTCTACGAATGAAACAAATTGTACAAGAAATAGAAAGTGCACTACTTCTGTATGAGCGATAATTCCGATGCTCCAGTTTCTATTTTAAGATCTGAACTTGATTCTACCTGATAATAACTGTAAATACGTTCTATCGAATGTACGTAATAAAACTCATCACCCTATTTACAAAATGAACATGATTTCTCTTGTAGATCATTTATCAATTAATAAGTAACATGAACATTCAGTTGTCCGATAACAAGGCGTTATCAATAGGAGAAAAGTCGAAGTTCGACTTTGATATAAACGATTTCTCATTCGATCCTATTGAGAAATTAGTTCAATCTTACTGAGAAGCGCGTCGAAGAGAACTGTAGGAGTTCAGCGCGCACGTGTGTATACATTTATTTAAAAAATATTTAAACTTGCGGGCTATTAATAGAACGGTGTTTTACCTAATTCTGATCATGGTTTCGAAATTCGCGAGTCAGAGCAAGTTTCGATCGGTCTCGAATCACAGATAGTGAAATTAACGGATGTATTCCACAAGGAAGTTTCTAGCGGGGTTTAAGGAATTGCATACCGCAGAATTATTCGCTACCGGACTTTACGCGACATGCATCTCTATCAATGGGTGGAGTGCGTATGTATAAATACACTTCTGGCAACTGACAACAGGAAAGTTTCAGTTGGGCGCCTCTTAATGCGAGTACATGTCAAATAAGAGACACGGGCCGACGCGTTCAAGCTCCTCCGGTTTATTGAGCCCGTGAACGCGTTCCTGAGTGAATCGAATCCTCGGTCGAAACAAAATCGAACAGCGCACGTTTTCAATTCGAATTAAAGGAGAAACCAACATAAACGAGGCATGACAAGTGGGTCATCGAGGTTTTCCTTGATCAAGTTAATGATACTCGTCCCCCTGACTCTGGACAACATGGTTCTCCCAGCTGCGACGAACCGGTATCCTCATCATCAGGTTGAGAGAAAGATCAATATGGAACAATCGAAGAACATCTCCGACGAGTTTATCTGCAAGGAAGTGCAACTACGGTCTTATGTCCTTGATGATTTGTTTCAAAAGGCTTACCCTAATCAAGGAATGTACATTTATCATCCTATGTACGTTGTGCTGAAACGATGCGACGGCCACTCCGGATGCTGTAACAGCAGTTTGAGTCGCTGCGCACCCGTGACAATTGTATACGACGACGTGGAAGTAAAAATTGGAAGTTTTATCAACGATTTGAAGATAAGGGGGTGGATCAGAGTGGAGCAACATCGCGAATGTTCCTGTAAACCGACCTCGAAGAAAGAGAAGTTTGAACGAGAACCCGAAGTGTTTCTTCTTTAATATGAATCGTAAGGTACCAAGGAAACGATAATATTGACTCATGAAGAACACGGAGATGAAAATAATTTCTACATCGGTTAGTTCGAAAACAGTCAGTGCAGGCTGTGTGCTCCAATACATGGAAGACGGTACAGAATTAGCACAAAAGTTAACAATGTGACTTTTCAGCATTGAACTTTCGAAGAACTAGTGACGGACACCTGTTTTAATTAATATAGGTGCCATTGCTTTTAATAATAAAACATTAACAAATCATCAACTGTTAAAAGTAAATTGTTTGTATCACTAGTCATACTTTCACTTATTTTAAAATAAAATAGAAAAGGGACCAAAGTGTGTATATACATACACTCTTAACTAAAAAGACTTTGCTTTTTCACTATTGTGATATTGTTATGTTTAGAATATTATACTTGTAGCATCGAAATCGTGTTACCAATAGGATCTATTTTAATTGCATTAAAAATTATGTAAACCTGATTATTTATTAATTAATTGTTTCCGTGTGTATTGATACATATCCGCCGATTTTTAAATTCGTCATCATCTAGCTTTACACGTACGATCTTTCTCATACATCCAATTTAAGTATTGAAAAGTATTAATTATAGTAACATTAATTGAAAATAGTGCTAAGCCAGACAAAAGTTAAATCCGCTAAAACTTATTATTAAATATTTATTTTATTACATTTCAACTTCCTAGCATCAATAAATAATATTTATACGACTCTTAGATGTTTAGGTTGAATTCGTCATTATATGAAAAAAAGAATCGTGTAAAATAAAGTACTTGTTGAATCTGGTTCAACACTTTTAATGTATATAATTGTGGATATTGATTTATGATCTGATGACTTATGCTTATACAAAGTATATTACATGAAATTCAAATAGTAATTACAAGTGCAGAGTAAATAAAAAAAAAAATAAAGAGAACTCCTTAAATGCTATGTAGTTTCGATTTAATTACCTAACTTCGAAAACTAAATCTTGATGAAAGGAATGTCACTTTTATTCTGATCTTCAATTGATAGTTCTGTTTCAACGCAACACGTGTCACGTGACACCAAGAATTGTCTGCATAAATAAAAAATAATCACGTTTTGGAAGTTGATATATTAACAGTCAACGTTTTATACACTGCTCGTGTAAAAAACATATATCGAAACACACTCGGACCTTAGTACCGCGTGAAGGTATATTTGGAGCGCATTCGTCGTCCTCTCGTCCCACGTCCTCTACCCGTTTCGCTATTCGCTCCTCTCGCTGCATGTCCGCCGCGTATTAAACCTTGCCCTACCAAAGAAGTTAGGTAAGTTTCTTTGAACTAAGAAGCGTACTTTTAATTCCGAAATGATACTCACCCCTACCGCCTGGTTGTTGATTGTCCCATACAATGGGAGTAGGCCGGGAACCGCGGGACTGTCTAAATGGCGATCTCGCCGATCTTCGTACCGTGTTGTTAACTCTATTCTCATTTGCCGCGGCCGCAGCATTTGCCGCCGCTATTGCCCTTTGACGAGTATTACTAGACGGAGACGCTTCCGCCTCGCGACTTTCCTCTACTTCGTCTTCGACGATGTCGCTTCCTGGCTCTTCGGTTCCTTCGCCAGGATCTACCGCGTCATCATCCGCGGACGTTAAGGGGCCGGCTTCTTCTGTACGTTTCTCACCTTCCGAGCTCGTACCTACATACAATTACATGTAACTGCGTGTAATTATTACTGATATTTATAACTCGTGATGACTACCTTCGGTCGGCGTTGTGCTAATAGATTCAGTGATTATTTCAGTTGGATTATGTTGTTGCTCGTCAACATTGAGCACACGTATACTAGGTATCGTAGGTTCTTCACTGGTGTCACTGACGATAGTGGTGCCTGTTACTAAAACAGGTGTTACTGAAACTGGTGTCTCCTGCTCTTCAGATGGCCCACTGCTTGTCTATAAAAGTAAATTAATTAGTAACTCGATAGATTAATAAACATCGTGTAAAAATTATTCATCGTTTCTATACCGAAGGCGGTAGATCGGCTGCCGGTGATACTTGTAGAGGTGTAGTTGGTACGCTGCGACCAGTTCCAGCGTCTTCTAATTGAGCCAGATCCATTCGCGTATCGTCGATACTTTCTTGCACTACTTGTGGAACGCCGGAACTGGATGATCCAAATATCGTTCGCGCTGTCGATCCGGAAGGCGTTGATAACGATGGAGTTGGTGAGGCTGTTGTTGGCGTGGACGAGTCTCCGAACGTGAAACGTCCTTGAGGAACTTGAGGTGAGCTCACGGCTTCTCCGAATCCATCTCCTCGACGTGGTACAAATAAAGTAGGAGTGCTTGGCACTATGCTGTCGTCGCCTCCATCCTCGTATCCCTGTTGTGGTAAAAGTAAATGCTGTTGCTGCTGTTGTCTGGGCATTGGAGCAATACCGCGCGATGATCGTGTAGCGAACGATGTAGCTGGTTCTCCCGTTGGTCCAGCACTACTAATCGCCTCTGATTGCTGTTGCTGTTGATTCGTGGGCACCGTTGCCTGCGCTTGTCTAGGAACTTCTACACTCGTAGAATCTTCCCCCATTATGATCTCGACTTCGTTATTATCTCTCTCTACTTCCGTTTCTACTTCATACGGCATCTCTTCATCCTCTTCCATTTCTTCGTACGCATCGTTATCGAATTCTTCCTCTTCTTGCGTCTGGTGATTGCCTCCTCCTTCACCTTCATCGCAGTCAACTACAATGACGCATCCCTCTTCCACTTCTTCGTCTTGATCCCGTTGGCTCGATGTCGGTACTTGGTATTCAACCTCCGAAGCACTAGCGCTAGCAGCGGAAGACATTTCCGATCTTGTACGTTTAGCTTTAGGACTAAGGACTTGTTCCTGTCTGCTATGATCCACGCCCTCGACGATTCCGGATCCAGACGCTGTCGAATCGAGAGCTCTAGGACGTTTATGCCCGGTCGAAGCTTGGGATGTGCTTACCGACTGAGTGGAGCTACTAGCTACAGTCTGCTGTTGATCGCTAACTGCAGCTTGCTGCTGCTGTTGCTGTTGCTGCTGTTGCTCTACTCGTGGGCTAACTAATGCAATAGTCTGCTGCTGTTGCTGTTGCTGCTGGCATTGTTGCTGTTGCACACTCAGGGTCTCCGCACTCTCTGGATCTTCCCTTTGCGTCGACTCTGCAGACTCGCTTAATTGCGGTTGCACGACTAGTTGCCTTAAAGTGCTTGGCGCTGTCTGCGACGAACTGCTACTAGTGCTAGCTGGTTGGAAATCTGGAAGACTACTGGTTGGCGAACTCGTTTCAGTAGTATGCACAACTTGTTGCTGCGCCTGTTGTTGCTGATGAGGTGCTACCATTACTGGCGCGCTAGCCGTTGTAGGTAAAACTGCAGCCGTTCTCGACTGTACTACTACGCTCATAGGGCGAATACTTGCTAATGGAGTCTCAGCACGTGCGGACATTGGCTTTATATTAGCCGTCGGCGGCTCTGTAGTAGGACTAACTCCGCTAACACCAGCTAATTGTCGCTGCAATTGGTTTACCCTTTGCACGAGTGTCTCTTTCTCTGCCTGAATCTCCGCTTTCTCATGTTCCAGGCGAGAGATTCTACCTTCCATTTGAGATTTAAGCGCTACAATTCTAGCATCGTGCTCGGCGGAATCCGATTCCGCAGTTCCAGTTTCGAGCTTTGCCTTCAAATCGAGCAATTCTTTTTCACACACTTTCTTCGATTCCGTTAACTGCAATATCTTGGTTCTGGCACCTTTTAATACTTGTTTAGCACGTTCCTCCTTCTCGACGCTCGTTTTATTCATCGTATCAATCTCCTTCTTCAATGTCTCTGCTTCGTTTTGTACAGTTGCCATTTGACGAGACAATTCATCGATCTTCGTTGTTAATTCTATATTCGCCTGACGCAGTTCTTGTCGACCCTCTTCTCTCAATTGATCTTCGCGTTCCTGAGATGCCTGGGGCGTGTCTTCGTTTCCAGATGTACCGGCCGACATACGAGATTCTTCAGTTTTAGTTTTTTCTTCTTCTACAGATTTTGCAAGTTCTTCGAACTGTGTTTTGTATTTTTTCGCTATCTTTCTTATTTGAATTTCTTTATTCTTGATATCGTTCAAGACGGCTTCCTTATCTCCAAGTTCTTTCCTCAGCGTTACCAAGTCCTTGGCTTTAGAAGTAGAATCGGCAAGAGCCTCGGTTAAATCTTGTCCCAGTTTACGAGCTTCTTCGGAAACTTTTTGGACTTCTTCTCCCTGAGCTTGTATTTGTTTCTGAAGTTGCACCAATTGCTCTTCTAACTTAGTTTTCTCTGCCTTCAATTGAACCAATTCTTCCGCACGCTTAGAATGCGTTTCCCGTTCAGATGTTAGAAGTTTGCTAAGATTTTCCCGTTCAGTTTGCAACCGGCGCCAATCTTCCGGGCTTGCTTTGTTAGCTCTTTCCACTAACGCATTGGCTCTTTGCCTCCATCTAGTTGCCTCTCCTTTAAGGCTCGTATTCTCTTGCAGCAAAGCATCAGTCTTCGCTTGTAAATCCCGAGATGTATCTCTAAGCGGCACTACTTCTTCAGACAGTGCCGTAACTTTTTTAGTCAGTTCCATGACTTGAACGCTTAAACTATCCCTTTCTTCCCTTAAGATCCTGTTAGAATCCGCAATGGCATTCAAGGTCTCAACCTTTCGCAACAATTCAGCGTGTTTAGATGTCGTTACCACGTCTATTTCTGATTTTTCCCTTTCTGAATTCAATGCAGTTTCAGTTTCCTTTAGCCTCTTCTCGATTACCTCCATTTGCGATTTCAGTCGAAGATTCTCCGCTCTCAAAACATCGAATTTCACTACAGCCATATCTTTTTCACGTCTCAAATATTTCATCACCCTTAGTAACTGTTCAGCAGAATTGGAATCTTCTTCAGCTCCGGTGAAACTACGATTCATTGCTTCTATGCTGGTATCAGGACTTTCTTGACTCTCGCTCATCTTCGACTGTTGACTATGCATAATTGCTATTTTGTTACTTAGTTCTTGAATTTGATTATGTAAAATAGCGTTTTGCGCATCTAAATCTGTTATTCTTTGTTGGAGTTCCTTCATTTCCTCAACTGACTTCACTTCTCTTTCTCGACAAGCTGCTCTCTCAAGTTCTAACGCTTCTACGGCTGAATCCCTTTCTTGCGTTAAATTTGCTATTTTTTGTTCCACTGCTCGGGTTTCTTCTTTCAATTTCGCTAACGTCTGTACGAGACGCAAAGACATAAATTAGCTTATCACAGTCTTTAAATACATTTCACGAAAATAATTATATTTACCTGAAGGTCTGCCGAATGAAGTATCATCTCTCTAGTATACTTCTCTTCAGCTTCTTTAGCTGTTACAGAAGCACTTTGCAAATCACCTTTAACAATTTCCAATTCTCCTTTAAGCTCATCTAACTCTTCAAGTTTCTTCTCAGCATCAGCTAATTTTTCTTTTAAGTCCGAATTGGTTTCTTGTCGGCCACTAGAAACTCTAGTTAATTCTTCTATTAATTCTTGAACTCTCTTTTGAAGAGACGCTATCTCTAAACGTGCTTCTTTCAAAGCGTTTTCTAATTCTTCTTTATATTTATTATGTTGTGCTGTTATCTCTCGTAATTGGGCTTCTGCGCTCTCAGCTATATCGCAATATTGTTGGCTCTGCTGCCGCGAAGCTTTCAATTGTTCCGATAAAGATTTCGCTTCTGCTTGCGTTGTTGCGAGCTGCATTTCAAGTTCTTTTATTCGCTTTACAAGATGTTCATCACCTGGAAGTTTAAATAACCACAGGATTTTATTTATAACTACTTCTAACTAAATAGAAGAAACCTAAGCCAATCTCATACATACCAGTGAAAGGCTTTGATATTGAATGAGTGACTGCTTGTCTCAGTTTGTTGTTCAGTTCTTCTATACGTTGCACATTCTGAGTATCAGACTGGCGAGCTTCTTCCAGTTCCAACCGAACCCGTTCGGCAATGTTCCGTTCCTCCGCTAATCGCTCCTGAGCAGTAGTGAGCTGTCTCTCTAAATGCACCGAAAGCTCTCTAAATCGATCTTGTTCCTCTTGCAATCGACGTCTTAAAGCAGCACATTCTCTCGTAGCATCATCCAAACGTTGTTCAGCTCGTAATTGGCCTTCGGCTTGAACACGCTCCAAGCTCGCTTTAATGGATTCAACATCAGCTCGTAACGAAGCCTGCGTTTGACGTTCCCTCTGATACACTTCGAGCTCCTTCAAGAGACGTCCTTCCGAATCGCGTAAAAGTTGTCTCTCTTGACGTATGTTTTCTAACTGCACTTCGGCGCGCGATAATCGGGTTTGAGCCGTTAAAGCCTCATCTTTCAAGATCATTAAACTCTGTTCGTGTTTACCAATTGTCACATTGTAATTGAAACATTTTTCTTCGAGAACTTTTATTTGATTTTTATAAGAAGAAACGTTAGATTGCAAAAGACCGAATCTGTCGTTGGCTGAATCTAATTGAGCTTTTAGTGTACAGCATCGAGCTGAACTAGCTTCCGCCTCTTTCCTAAGTCTTTCAACTTCCTCTCCTAACATGCGTTCATGCGCTGCTTTTTCTTTTCTGTACGTGTCAAATTCATCTTTAACCTGTTTTAGTTTAGCCTCATATTCTCCCAATTCCTTCTGTAATTCCTTCTCTTTATTGGCATCAGAGTGACTGATCTTAGAAGTTTCGTCCATGCCAGATTTCGCAGCATCAGTGTCGTCTTCGTCCTCCTCCGGAATCATGGACAGTTTTTTCTCGTCAGATACATTGGTTTGTTTCAAACATTGGTGATACATATTTTTATACATGTCTCGTTGTCGTAAAAGGCCTTCCAACATCTTTGCTTGTCTGTCTTGAGCAGCTTGCATATCTTCCAACTGCTCTAGATATCTGTCTAACTTTTCTTTCATATCGCCAGAGTTAATTTCGTCAGTTGCCTTCTCGATTTCTTCCTGCCTCGATGACAATGTGCGGACTATCGAGAGTAACTTTTGATTATTCTCTTGCAGTTCTTCGATATCTTTAAACGTAACAAGCTTTTTACTAATGATCTCAGCTGAAGCTAAATTATCAATTTCCATCGAATTTGAAAATTCACTTGCATTAATGGTTGTACCGCTCCTACTCTCTTGAACTTCTTTCAAAAGGAAACATACCTGAAAATAATAATTATATAACAGTGTACAAGAACACCAAAAAATCCAAACGGGATCGCAGTTTCACTTACTTGTCTCGCTAAATCCGACAATTCCATTTTTAATCTCTGATTTTCTTTAGTATGATGTTTAGCAATGCGACTCGACTCATCCGCCGTTTCTTGTAATCTATGATTCTCTGCTAAGAGTTCGTCCAATCTTGATGTTAAAGTGGTAATGTTGCTCATCGCGCTTTCGTAATCCTCGCGTTGTTGCTGCAACAGCGGGGCTTTCGCTTCCAACTCGCGTAGAATCACATCCATTTGGGATTTCATACGTTCATTCTTTTCTCGTTCCGAAGTTAATTCATTTGTTACGTCGACTAATTGTGTATAGATTTGAGTGAGGCTCAAGCCTTTCCGAAGCACTCTGCTGGCTATGGCTGCAGTGGGTGCTAGTTGTTCAACAGCTTGATCTAATCTTTCCTGTTTAATATTCTTCAATAATTCGTTTGCATGACTCAATTCATTCGACAGTTCATCTATCTTTCGATCTCTTTCTTCTAGTTCTTCCTTATGTTGTATCTGAAGCTGGTTATGCGTCGACTCCAGTGTTCCATATTGATCAGTCGCGTGTTCTAATAATTGTTGAAGTTCTTTAACTGCGTTACTAAATTCTTCGGCCTTCGCATTCACTTCATCTGCCATTCCTTTATAAAGATCTGCCAGTCTAGTTTGTGCGCCGATTTCTTCTCGATAAGAAGCGTGCATAGAAATTTCGTGCGTGCGTTGTTCTTCTAATTTCTGCGAAAACTCGTCGCAACGTCGTTGAAGGGCTGAATACGATTCTCGCAATTGCGCCGTTTGTTCGTTTGCGATACGCAATTCTTCATCTCGCTGTGCCAGACGAGTATCCGTTAAGAGACGGAGTGCAGAAGCTTCTGCTCTCGTTGCTTGTAATTCTGACATTCTTTTTGTTAATTCTTCTTCAAGCCCTACCATCTGCTGCCCGATAAGAGCTCTTTCCTGTTCCAATCGTTTCTCTTTAAATTCAAGAGTCATTTCCCGACTTCGAATTTCCTCTGTTTCTGCCAATGCTTGACATTTCGCAGCGACAGCATTCTGTAATTGATTTCCCAACGATGATAATTCGGTATGCATTCTTTCAATTTCCGTGTCCCTCCTTTCAACCTGCAACTGCAGTGCATCCCTTTCATCCACAACTGTATCCCTGTGCCTACGTAAGTCAGCATTTTCTTTTTCCAGTCTGCAAAATATTAAATATTTAATTTGGTATATTGTTACCCAACATATAGACATATAATATATATGAGATGTACATGAGAATGAATATCAAATAATACCTCTTAACATGTTCTTGTAATTTTTGTATTTCTCCTTTTGCTAGATCTAGATCAGATTGTAATTCAACAGTATATTTCTGTGACAGTTCAAGCTTTTCCTTGCATTCTTCAAAATTTGATTTTTCCTCTGCCAAACTCTTTTGTAACTTATCTAACGTTTGATCTAAAAAAAACAACAGAAAATCATATTTACAAGCTGTAATAATCAGACTGTTATTTGTATATTTAATGCAGGTTGGACGCCGTACATTTCTAAAGAAGTGTTAACCGCTTCTGTAAGGAGACCGGGTGATTGTTAATATCGTAAAAAATATATCGAACTGGATTCAAGCTTACCAAAAGTTTTCCTGTTGATTTCAAAAACTGCTTTAGCGGTGATATATTGTTCGAATTTATCGTTGAAATAAGCATTCAATTTCTTAGCAAGCTCTTCAGGTATTTGCGATAATTCGTCTTCGCCCAAAACTTCTCGCAATATATTGTGTTCGCTCTCTTCTGTTTTTTCCATTATTTCTCGTTTGATGTCACTTAGAACTCGAGAAAACTTTTTCTCAACAATACCTACGTGATTTGCGAAGGATTCGATTCGTTGAAGCGCACATTTGATCAAACATTCAACGTATTTTTACCTCTCTTTCCGAAAATCACTATGGCCTTTTGACGCGGCACACGGTTCACGGTTCTTCAAGAACCGTTCTTCCCTTTCTTCTGCGTTTTACCGAGTTGTCCGCCGTTTTCATCAGCGCTAGTGTTCCATTTATGATAATTTATTATATTTATACTGAACATTAGAAGTTAAACAATGTCAATAATATCTGTCATAGAAATGTAAATGATTTTTCTTATTGAAATTATACATATTATAATCTCTTCCTCTCTTTCGTGACGACAATAATAATAAATGAAAGCTTTGTTATATTTCACTAATACATAAACTCATTAAAAAAATATTATGTTGTTACTTGTATGTTGTATACACAATAAAAACACATTTGTATTTCGTATGTACTATTTTCATTTTTATTTCATTTTATATTTTATTAAAATAATCGTATTTCATACACCGCCAGGCACCGCGTGCCGCGTACCCTAGATTTCATTCTCAGCAATTCTCAGATTCTCAGCATGCGCTAGGTATTAAAGTAGGCTGTGGTCGTGTATATATGTATAACAGATTATACATACAAATATCACCAAAAATGTAAATGATGTAAATGTGTATATGTGTATGTAATTTACAGTACAGTAAAGAAGGTTCAAACAGATTCAAATAACAATTTCTATTTGAATCGTACAAAAATATATTCATCATACTAAGAAAAATTAAAAAGTATATGAGATGTTATTTCAAAAAACGAATCGTCTCCTAAAATCGAAATTCTTCTTAGGTTACATAGACTGTCATTATCATCATGTGAGAGGAAGAAAACAATTTTTATGCACAGTAAACACGTGCAATTACATGAATAACAAAAGGGATAATACAAGTGTTCAAAGAGAAGTGAATCCCCCACATTTATTCATTTGTTGTAGGAGTCTATGTACAAAAGCATTACCCGAAAATCCAAATGTTTTTGGGGATCTATCATATGAAAAATATGAAAAAGTTCCGATGGACGAAGCCGAAGAAAAGGAAGAGAAGTTCGCGGAAACCGTAAAAGTGCCGAAAAGGGAGAGATTCACGCAGATGGATTATTGTAAACTAATTAAAACACATATGAATAACAAGAATCTGCAGATGGCCTTGAACGTATTAGATTTAATGAAAGAAAACGGTGACAAACCGAGTTTATACATATATAGATTGTTGCTTTCTGCTTTTGCCATCCAAGGTGATATGAAACAATGTTTCAAACTGTTCAAACAAATAAGGGACAGAGGTTTAAGTCCTACTCCATCTGTATATAACACTCTGATCCATGTCTGCTCTGAAAGTGACGATAAAGAAAAAGCACTGGAACGATTAACGTATTTACGAGAATATTTTCACGAGAGGCAAGTCAGTCTGAACCATATACATTATGCGAGTCTTATCAAAGCTTATAGTCGACATAAGGAGATTTTAACTGCGTTTGAAATAGCAGACGAAGCGAATGATAAAGGTATTTGTTCAAAAGACATGATTGCTGCCTTGTTTCAGGCGACGATCAGTGATACAAAAAATGGTTTAAAGTATGCTTTGGCTTTGTGGCATAAAATGAAGCTAACTGGCATGAAACCAACTATAATTCATTATAATCTTCTTTTAAGAACGATTAGAGATTCGAAGTTTGGTGACTTAAAAGTGGGCGACGTTTTGGTACCACAATACGAGAATTCGAGAATTCAGTTAACAGAAACAGGGAGACCAGACTTATTAGATTCTCCGCCAGTGTTGAATTTATCACTCATTCCACCACTTAACAGAAATCTTATCTCCAGTGAAAATAATTCTTTGCCAGAAGAAATTAATACAGAGAAATTATGTTCTTTGAAATTAAACACTGTATTAAATGAAAATCAATTGATTCTATTTGGTGGAATTGATAAAATCTTGAAAAGAATGAAAGACGATGGTGTGGAACCAAATCAAAAGACTGTAACGTTACTACTGGATCTGCTTCCGTGTACGGTAGAAGCAGAAGATCATTACCTTAAATTCATCGAAACGAATCATATAAAAATGGATATCACTTTCTACAATGTACTTATAAAAAGAAGGAGTTTGAGAAGACAATACAAGGAGGCAAAAGTAAGTGGATACTAAAATTGAGTTACACATATCTTTGGCAATCATTATGTACTTATATCTGTATGTAGGCTGTACTAAATGAAATTCAGAAACATCACCTTTCACCAAACGTCATAACGTTCGGAGTCTTAGCTATTGGTTGCAGAAAGTATTGGGATGGAATGGAACTTTTAGAACAAATGGATGCCATTGGTTACGCACCAAATTATATAGTTTTGCAAGCATTATTCATGAATGCGTGCATAGGAAAAGATTTTAAATATGTACTAAATTTAATGCAATATCTGTTAAAACGCCGAATGAAACCACCGCCTTCGATTTTAAATACATTAGAAAAATTTGATGAAATAATGTTACAATCTTTGGAAAATGAGGTAAGATACGTACGGATATCATTCACGACGCTCTTCGCGTTTTAATGTGTATTCATATTTCAGGGGAGGTATAAATATAAAAATATTAATGAAATGAGGAAAAAATATAACGATTTCAAAATCAAATATGAAAACTGGAAAGAGAAGATACAGAAGTATAGTGAAAAAATGACAAAATAAACCATTTTAATTAATGTATAAAACGCAACCTTAAAACAATTGTTTATAAAATACATACATAATATAATAAAATACAGACATAAATAATTCTATACATTTTTAATGGAAGAAATTAAATTAGCGAAGGTAGGGTGGCCTTGTTTCTTGCGTCCAAGGACGACTCCTTGTCCCTGCATTGATCGCACGCGGTGGACACGATCCACGAATACTGAGTTTATTGTAACCAGTGGGTCCAGTTGGTTGTGCTCCACACGTTTCTAATGCCACGAAGTCATCCACGTGAAGAGACGGAGGCCTCGAAGTATTCGGTGGTCTCGATCTGAAGGGATCTGCTCCTCTGCCTGCGCTTCCCACTACAGGGCCGCCTCTCAACGAATTGGCAAACTGTGTTCGACCCCGCATAGGTGTAACTGCGAAGAAGAACTTATTAATTCAGCGAACAATATAGAAAGTGAATATACAACATACCGAAGGGTTGTTTCACTTTAGAAACTGGAGACGTGTCTTGTTTCTGAACATCTCTGGCCTCTTGATCGTCAGTTTGAGCCTTCGATTGTAAAGGCTGAGTAGCATCATCGGGCGGTGTTTTAGAACATAAATTTTGTGCTTCCGTTAGTAAATTGAAGTCGGCAGGAAGCAGTTCGGTCGCAAGCGCTAATAGATCCACCATGTTTTCGTTCGATACCGAATTCGAAGACGTAAACGTGAATTTCTTTGGGCGCTTAGAAGGAAGATCCGAAATTTTTAAACACCGTTGAGAAAATTGATTTAACAAAGCTTCGGGAGTAGGCAATAATGGTTCTAACATTTCTGGAATAGATTCTTTCTCTTCCTTGTCTTCGGTAGACTTGAATATCTCAACTAATTCTTGCGCACTTTTTATCTTTTCCAACGGGTGATCGTTCTTATCCCATGATATTAAAGTTGCTAACTGTTGTACACGTAGATACAAAGATCTTCCTTGTGACTCAGATGTAATTAAATTTTCTAAGAACGTTATGGTCAAATTAACGACACACTGGGCTTCTGGATCCTCTAAAGTCGAGATATGGTCTAATAGAGATCGCAATGCATCAGGATTATTTTCTAAACAACTTTTTACGTGATATAAACCATAATTATGACTAATAAGGGATAAGAGTATACGAAGTGTACTCTCTAATACATCCAGTTCAAACTTTTTACTAGTTGCCAGTATATCGATTAACGCAGTTAGAATTGACAAAAGTGGCTCCTTACTGGGTACCGAATGAGAAAGTCTCTTTTCAAACGATTCATTGAGATCTTCTTGTACGAGGCACAGCGTACAATCGCACAATGTCTCAAACATATCTAGTATTTCATATTGTACTCTAATATCACTTGTATTCTTCAACGCCGTACACATCATTTCGATAACCGGTGGATACTTTTGATCGGATTTAACTTGGGCTCTAGACGCCGGACTAGTTAAAGTTAACAGAGTAGCTTTCATAGGCGCGTGTCGCGTAAGTTCGCTAAGTAGAGTGAGAATTAAGACGTTATTTTCTAGTGGTGTGGCAGCTATTATACCATCTAATAAGCATCTACCTACGAGTAGTGCCGTGGGTGCTGCTAAGTCGCTTAATTGCTTGCAAACTTTCGAAAGGAGCAGCAATAAATCTTTATTCCAGCTGGTGCAAAGCAGTCGCAATGTCTCTGTTAGATTATTAGCTTGAGCCTGCAAGTGAGCAGACCATAGTTTTCTAAAACCTAAGATTCGAGTAGCATCTTCGGTCGATGTCTCCTTTGCAGTCAAAACAGGAGGTAACAACCTTGTCAAGAGTTTCAAGCCTGATATAAAATTAAATGGACTTAGCGAAACCATTTTAAGGACTTCGCCCAACATTTGTGTCCACAATGATTTTGCCACATTGCCGGAACCATCCGAATCTACAGCCTGTGTAAATACTAAGAGACTCTCTACTATTTCTTCCGATAAGATTTGTACATTTCGATTGGAAGGAATGGCTTCTACCAAGGAATAAACACCGAGTAATGGGACTACGGCTGTTAAATCTTTGAAATCCGTGGCCATGCATTTAACAAGCCGTTCCAATAACGCTCTCGTTAATTTCACGCATGGAAGAAGTAATGCGACCAATGCCAAGCCCCTTCTGCCTGTTAGAGCCGCGCTATGCAAGAGTGGCTGTTCATAGAATTCTGAAATATTTGTCATAACTGCAATAAGAGCTGTTAAACCGTCAGCAGCAAACAACTGAGTCAAAGCATTTCTGTATTTTAATTCAATATAAGGTTCCATTGGGTCCACGTCGTTACTCGAAGGAAATACGAGATAATGCAAAATTCTGCATGCTGTAATTAATTGCCCTGGGAGAGAGGCTGCCTTATCCGCGTTTTTTCTAATACATGCGACGAGCGAAGATACGTCTCCGTAATTCCAATGAGACGGTTGCGCTGCTACTGTCAAATATGATGTAACGTCTTTCAAAACAGCCTGAGCTCTCGACTTCTCCAAAATAATTGCAGCACGATTTTGAAACACTTTTATTCGATCGGAATAACGGATCGTTGCTGATATAATTTCCGCGGAGAATTCACATAAATCTGGATCAGAGAGAAACGGAATTAAAATATCGATGAACTCTCCCATAGGAAGGATCGTTATTATAGCTTGTAAACCTTCAGGAAATATCAAAAAGGAATGAAGCTTTTTTAGTGCCATCCAATCGGAAGATTGACATTTTAGACGTAATAAGCATTGTACAACTTGAAGTCGCCAAGCTAAGACTGACCCTGTCCCAGGTATATCACATCTCAGAGCTTTCAAAATTAGTATTGTAACTTCTGGCTGTTTTAATAGGTACAGTAAACCTTCTTTCGTATCAGAAATGCGTAAAAGGAAACGGCGAGTAGCTTTGATTAGATTTATGTCTGATTTCGGAGAAGTAAGAGCAAACAGAACATGATACAAAAGTTTATGGTATTCAAAATACGCGATTAAATGACACTGAGGATTTCTATTTTCCTCGCGTTCAAATTCCATTTGAGATCCAGCTGGAAGTTGACGTTTCGGTTGAGCCATTAACGTAGGCGAACAAATATACGTGTTCCTTAATTCGGTAACAGCCAACTCATCGAGTTCCTTCATTTCCTCGAGGAATTCGTACATGTGCACTTTTCGTAATAATGAACTTAGAGCGTACTTTAGTCTTGCCAATTTTGCCGTCTCCAACATCATCAAGGCATTTTTGTAGAGATTGCTTTTACACCGTAGAAACTCTTGTACAATTGTTGGGCTTATCAAAGCCGCGTCCAACGTGCGAATAGCAGAAAGCTTCACGGGAAGCGCAACGTTTTCACGCATGCACAGCGTCAGCAGTTTATAAGGCGCGTCCACTTTCAATAATATATCTGGCCCTTGTGGAAATTTACACAAGGCTTCTGCCAATCGTACACCGACTTTAACATGACGGACTTTGTAAGCTGGTTGGGGTTGGGCGCGAGCGAGATCCATATCTAAGCCAGCACTCACGATATTGGTCAAATCATTAAACTCCGTAGCGTTTAAATCAAACGGGCTAAGTATCGCGCTTAACGATTCACAATTGTGTACAAACGTCTCTTTCTCTTGACCCGACGCATTATTGAAGTGTAAAACTGATTTGGATAAAGATTGTAATATTTCGTGTATCTTATCTAACGTTTCCTTGCCGATTTGGTATTCTTCTGTAACAGTCACTGACTCGTCCAACTCTAACAGATCCGGGGGTGTCAAAGAATAAATGTCGTTTAGCTGCATGTTTTCACATTCGTACTCTGCAGTGGGTGGCACATCATCGGTCATCATATCTTCGTCAGATAGTATAGGTTCGAAGGGCTCTCCTGTTTCTTGTTCACCACCATCCTGTTCTGCTTCTTCCTCTTCGGCTGATATCGACTCAGGACTTAAGGATACTAAGGATTCAGAGGGAGGTGAAGAAGGACGTTTTGCAGTCTTCAAGGTACTGTTTGTACCATCCTCCTCCCAATGTTCTGTCTTCCCAGTATCAGATGTCGAATTTCTGGATGATTCCACTATTTGAATCGGCTGTATAGGAGGTGGAGGTGTAGCTGCCACACATGTTTCCTACATGCATCATAAAAAAAATTAAAGATCTGTATATCGAAGATAGGTCTTATGGTACTTAAACAACATACATTTGAATTCGTTTGAGCCTGATTTTCATAGTACCATTCAGACTGCTGTTCTGAAATTTGGTTTGGATTTTCTATAACTTCTTCTAGGCCACTGACACAGGCTGAAGAACCAGCAGCTGAACTAACGACTTCTTGTGGATTGTTTAATGATTTTGTTAATGTCCCATACACTGCTAAAGTGATTGTGGTATACCAGCCTCTTAAAACCAATCCATCTGTGGGTATTTGTTTTCTTTCACATTCCAACTGGATGTGAATATTCTGTTTGTATTCTAATTCACCAAGGGACTCGAATGTAGAAGCACCAGGCTTACTTAAATCATTTACAAAAAATTCAATTTCAAACTGAGATGGATTCGTAGCTCTGAAATTACAGAATGTTTAAATAATTAATTCGAAGGATACTATTTCAATCTATGACATTGGTCAGTTTGTATACCCTAAACGGACACCTCCAGGAAAGTCAGCTTTTACTCGAGCACCCAATGGGATAATTCTAACTTCACTTATATAAACAGGTTTTGGAAATTGCACTAAATCTAAATTCAGTTCCTGAAACAATCAAGAAGGAATTTATTAAACATTGTTACACATGCTATTTTGATAACAAGTAAAATAACCTTGGTCTTACTTCGGATATATCGTGCGAAAATGTATCAAAAAATAACAATTCTACATTTTCCATGATTTACTTTTTGCTGCGATTCAGAAGTAATTAATTATGTAATAAACCTACTTTTATAAATCCTATTTTTATAGAACTTTATTTCACAGAGAGGACACGAATAAACACACTTTTTTTAATTTTGAAGAAAAGTCTGAACAATTTAATATTAATAAAATAAAGACAAGTTCAATAAAATGTTATGTATTTATGTTATTTATCTTTATATTTTAATTAAAATAAATATAATATTTCAACTTCTACATTGCATCTTGGCGCTAAATATCGCGTACATGATGGACCTGATCAGACTATCAGACCTATCAGACATCAGACCTCAGCACCTCAGACCTGATCTGATCGCGTATATACTAATATACTTTATGCTCTTTATACATATACCAGAATATACCTATACATATATATAGTGTGCAAGATATATGTAATCAAAATTTTCAATTATAAAGAAGAAGCTGGATTAGACAATTAATTTATAAATTTTTATAGTTAAATTCGTAATTAAATCCGTTTCGTTTTCATATTTTATTATCGTGAATTGTATAAGACGAGTTGCAATTATTGCATACGTATTATACTTTCTACAGTCTTTGTTATTTGTGATTGATTAACGTAAATGTTTTGTTTACACTACTTTCAATTTAAAATTGTAATGATAGTACAAGATAGTTTATTATCATTTTTCGTCCGAAACATGGACTGAATCTCGTAATAATTAAGTGACGATTGATGCTGTTCTTCAAGATTTATCAATGCGTGTATAAGACTATGTTCTTTATCAATAAGTATAATTGCTCGTAGATATCGTAAAAGTTATACTAAAAATATATTAAAATGCAAAGTATCATAGAGTCCATGAAACAGTGCAATGCAATTCGTTATGCATCTTATAGAACTGCAGCAAAGATGCAGATCTTGCATAAAGAACTTAATAGTAAGTTCTGAAGTACATGCAATTAACGAATAGTACATAATAATATATTCTATTTTGCAGTGCAATATATTCAATTAAAATTAATTGCCGGTGTCTTTGAAAGGCACAGGCTTTCGATCACCGAGAATTGTGTAAATTTAGACCCAAGTGAAATAGAAGATGTTCTGTCTGACATTTATTTTGCAGCTTGTAAAGAAAATAATACCAATTTTGATATTGATCTCGCAACAAAACTAGCACTGAGTTATATCTTAACTACATTTGATAAGTATGTCATTTTTGTAATATTAGATTCACACTGAAGTAAATAATATTTCATAATACGTATCATAAATATTATAGGCAATGCAGTAGAAGTGTCTCTGTATTTTGTATTAAAGTTGCACTGATAATAATTAGCTCTGGCAAACTGCAGGAGAAGTATGGATATCTTTATCAGCAATTGGCTGATCATAATGCATGTTTATCTAAAGCTAGTTTGCACATGTTATTAACAAACATTTGTAAGCTAACTGATATGCTTGGGGAAAATGCAGTATATGGACCTCAACATATTCAATCTCATGTAGATAAATGCTTTTCAAAGGTAATATCAAATAAAATTTAAATATATTTCAATTGGAAGCTGCTTATAATATTCTTTAATAGTCACAAGGATGTCTTGGGGTTACTGAATCTGAATTTGCCACATGGATCATGGAAGAACCTCCTTTACTTATTTGGATAACTACATTCAATCGCATAAAATTGGCAGACCATAGTATGTAGATAATAACAAGTAGTATTAAATTTTAAGAGAATAAATTACATACATTTTGATTTCAGTTATACACAATGTCAGATGCTCTTCCTGTAAAACAACGCCAATTCAAGGCCCGCGATACATGTGTTTAAAATGTACAGCATATCATCAGTGTCAACACTGTTTCTTATATGACAAAATATCGGGGAAGCATAAACTAAAGCATCCAGTTCGCGAATTTTCTACTAAGGTACATGAACATTTAATTTCTTTTTACATGAATGTTTAATACATCCATTTTTTGTTTAGACTTCGAATCGAGAAATAACAAAGTTAATCATTGAATTAATAAGGAACAAATTAAGACTGTGTCCTAGTAGATCCATCGAATTGAATATTGATGATCAAACACCACCAATTAACAGTAACGAAATTACGCGTACTGACTGCGAATCTGTAAGAAGTACGATAAGAAGACGGGTTTTGAATGATCCACAAAAGGAACTTCAAAGTATAATTACTCATTTAGAAGAGGAGAATCAGCAATTACAGATTGAATTGCTCGATATACAGGGTACCAAAGCAGAGAGACTTCAGCGTCATAGAGCTACGATCGAATCTCAGTTGCAACGTTTGAAATTATTAAAAGTATGTGTTACAATTACTGATATATATAAGTATCCGGTGAAGCAATTTAAATGTTTATTTAATTATTTACAGAAGTATTTGTTTGCTGATAGATTGTGTATGCCGGCTGTTATTAACCAAATGCAAAGCACGCCAATGGTTCCTACTCTATCATCAAGATTAACAGCCTTACCTATCAATTTCGAATTAAGCCCGATTATTCGACAAGAATGTACCGAACGAATTTTAGGTGCAAATGACACAGACACGTTACAATCAAATAATTTTAATCCCACTATAAATTGTATCAGCGAAGAGACTCGTGATACTGTCATTGATTCTAGAGAAGCATCTACTAGTAATCCACTACAGCCTACCCAAATAGAATTGAGTACTTGGATAGGAGGTATTTTACATTATTACTTTGATTATCTTGAAAGATATTTAGAAACTTCTGATTAATAGGTAAAAGATCAGAAATAAACCCATCGGAAAGTGGCTTCTCCCAATGGCTGGGTCCTAATAATTCTGACTGCAAGGAAGAACAATATTCGCTGAAGACTATTACAACTAATTCGGAAAATAAGCCACCTTTAGGAATATCCGATTCTCCTATCGGTATTCACAGAGACAATACACCATCTTCTTTGCAAAGACCTGATAAACATTCGCAGCACAGCAGCTTGCAAAATATCCAAGGTGATCTAAACGATATACTAGACAGATTACAAAATATGGTTACAGATAATCGTCTACTTGATGGTAAGTTCAATCATATTTTATATCTCTGTTATTTAGATATTTAATACATCTAAATAATTACTTCAGATTCTTACGTAGCCAACGACAATTGTAAGTTAAAGCGCGCTACTTCGGAAATGGAGGATTTATTAACAGGACTCATTCAGGGTATGGAGTCTCGAAAAAGTAAACTTACTACAATCGTGTAATAAATTTATTAAGTATACTGTTCTGGAATAAATGTCCGTCCAAAAAGTAAATTATTTGTAAGGTACTATAAAATATACCAAGTAGGCGTATACGTATAAAAGCAATGTACAATCATGATAATATTAAAGCAATATTTTTCACATCATAAAAGCGAGCCACTTAAAATATTATAAAAGTGTATTTCCTTTTAAATATAATCATCAAGTATACCAGGCAAGTATATAAAAATGAATAATTATACGTAAAGAGATCGATATACGAATTGATATTCCCTTAATGTTTTTATAAGTACACTTATCTAAGTAAATGTAAGATATTTTTTAGAGATATATAAACATGATTCATTTCAATGAATGGACTAGATTATTTAATGTAGTATTTCATATGTCGGTAAATAAAATATGTTCATTTAGACCTTATGGAGTATGTAATATATCGTTACATATCTTTCTCAACTAACAAAGTATCCGTTAAATAAGTAACTTTCATTAATCGTGAAAAGTGCAGTTTTTCCGATGGTAGATTTACCGTCCATGCTATTATGCGCACATCGCGAGCAGCCCATTCCTTTACTATGCGCCTGAAATAAATATTGTTACGATAAATATGAAATCCACTTATTTAGCACGTTAGATAATTATCATAGTACATACGGATTTAATACGTCTTTATGCAATAGCAAAACGGATACACCCACGATGTAATATAAGAAGTGGAAAAGCATCCATTCATAAATATAATCATATATACATGTTGCTATGTATATGAAGAAATTACTCTGTTTCGGTACGGATATGCCGTCTGAACCCATATACGATGTACTTGAATAATATTCCGGTCTCCACGCAATACATCCCACAATTTTCGGTTCCCTTCTTCTAATCTGTAATGAAAAAATTATTACTTGTGTCCAATGTCCTTGTACTTGTTTTTTGGACTTTTGTTTTACCTTATAGACAACTAGAGGATTAAAACTGGATATGACTCCTCTTTCGTAAAGCTTTGGATACTTCTTGTACGCATCTAAAATTACTTGTATAACGTCCTCCCCTGATTCCTTTACATCGATGAATATTCTTTGGTCATTAGACAAACACATTTCTAAAACGTCCCATAGTATTGGGATGTTTTCAATTTCATCAAATTTATCCCTATCATGAAATTCATTTAATATTATAATATTTTCTAACAAGAGGCATGCTACAGTATTCAATTTACTTAAGTGGATGATTCCGGGTAATATCTAATTGGTTCAACTGGTCCCAAGTCATCTCCTTAATAATTCCAATTTTTCCAGTAAGTCTTTCTATCGAAAGGTCATGAAAAACTATAGGCACATTATCCTTTGTAAGAGATAAATCAAATTCTACTGCAGTACAGCCCCTTTCTTTGCTCTATAAAATAATTCGATGAAATGTCATTTCATTGATAATTTAATTTATGAAAACCTTCAATTAAACAAATAAACATTTTGTTAGTAACTACTGCGTTAGTATTCATGTTTACGATATAATTAATTCTGTTATATAGTATTCCAAACTAGCTATTAAAAAAAGAACATTACAAAAAATTAATTTTACTTTTCTGTAACTGGCTTAATGTAAAATACAAAACAAAACTATTACGGTATATAAGAATTTACATTACGAAAGGCTGTTAGACTGTTCTCAGGGTAATCATATCCTGCACCACGATGAGCCACCACTCGCATGCAATATTGTTCTCCATTTCCATGATCTTTCGACATGGCACTATTCGTATTATTATCTTTTCCCACTGACATAGGATTTGCGCCGAGCACCTCTTGCGTAGTGCTTGAATTCGGTGGCGGAATTCTTGTTACTTTTAATCCAATCCCAATAATGATAGTACCCCAAACAATTCGTGGTACGCAGAAATGATAAACAACGCTTATTAAAATGTCCCAAGAAACTTGTAAAGATACCCACAATACAACACTGGTCACAATTAGTTCAATAATTCCATGCATCTTTTAAAAAGGGTCTTTTTAGTCTTGTTAACGTATTTTGGCTTGAAAGAGAACGAACGAGCTTATTATCTTTCTATGCATGTACAAAGACTTCAACTATGGTATTGTTCTACAGCACTCTTTATTACTTGAACATGTAAGTTTGCACATTCTCGCAGATACCGTTTAGGCTGCCTAATGTACGTATGTCTACGATTGATAACGTTTGTTTGCAATATATTATCAATATTTAACTAAATGATAATTTCCTCCTTGCTCCTGAAACGTTAATGATTATTTTAATAGCAGGTACTCAGTATACATATAATACCGGCTTATAATTAGATATTACATTTTTTAGCTCTTTTACAATAGTAATTCCTGATTAGATGTTAGTTTATATTACAATTACAATAAACAGCAAATGAAGATTATCGAATTGTGATTGCAGACAATACAGAACCTGATGCGATCTTTATTATACCTTTCCTCAATTGTACATGTTATTAGAATTTGCGAGGCCAATTTTTGTAAAAAATGCCTATTAAAAATGTACGGTTTTTCGGTGCATACTATGCGACGGACAGCGACGGATACATGACATGACACACAACAACACACATCGGTAATCGGCGCACTGACATTCATTATATATATATATATATATACACTATATATACTATTGCCAGTCTCAAAGTCCCAATAGTTCCCACTGTTACCAGTACGTATCATGTGTGTACATTATATACTATATACAGTATACAATACATTCATAGATTCATACATGGGTACATAGGGTGCCAAATTGCCAATTGTATACATTAAAAACGAGATTAATTTGGCATTTTTCACATTTACCTAATTTTATCCGCTGTTAAAGATGACAGAAAGTATTGAATAATAAAAAGCTTCTATTTATTTAAATGCAAACAATGAGTGATTCATTAGATTTTTTGACGAAGTATCACAACATATCTAATAAATTAAAGAAGTAAGTATTTCGTTCCTGTTGTAGAAAGTAATCAAGTTCTTTTTATGTTAAATCAATCTAATTTTTATCGATTTCATTGTAGGAGGTTCTTAAGAAAACCAAACGTTGCTGAAGCAAGTGATCACTTCGGTATGTAATATGAACATAATATAGAAGATATATTTAAATTAATTATTTCTCAGGGGCACTGGCAATTGAATGTGAACAGAAAGAGTTATGGCAATATGCTGGTTTATGCTCGCTGGCTGCAGCCAGATGCCAAGGGACATTGGAGAACATATTTTCTGAATTGAATTTCTTAGTAAGAGCTGGTAGAGAATTCCTTGTTGCTGATAAGAAAGATAAGAATATAGGATGCCCTTCTATAGGACAGGAAAATACACAGGTCCATAATCTTTGCCAGGATCAATGCGTAACGATAGAATTCTATAGAATACTAAAAATCTGATTATTTACTTTAGGCTGCGATCAGCTGTTTTGGCCATGCCTTAGCTCGTTGTCATAATCAATCAGGTTTTAATACCATGTCAGCTGGTTTAGCATTAGAATTAGCATTAGCTTTGGGTCCTACTCCAGCTGGCACACAGCAGTTACGTAAAGCTATTGATATTTTTCCTACTACAAAAGCTATTAATACACTGATCTCTTACCACATTAAGCAAGGTACATTTTTAAGTGTCTTGCAATTATCAGATTGATTGTAATTGTTAAACATGACATATTTAATTAGGTGACTATGTATCTGCTTTGCAAATTTTGAACGATTTCGTCGAATTTATTGAGAGTTATATCAATGCTGGTGCAAGAGGCAATCACAGCATCATATTACACAGGTATGCAAGATAAATCAAAATGTGTAGAGTATTTAATCTAATCATGTGATTTTGAATAGATGCGAGGTGACTAGAGTACTTTTATTACTTATACTTCAACCTTCCCCACAAAGGCTAGCACCTTGCTTGGCCCAGGTCTTGGAGAAGTATGCTTGGGTAGAAGAAACTACAGACAATGGCAAGGATCTGTTTTTGTTAATAATTCGGTTGGAGATAAATTAATAAATTATATGTTACAGATTTCAATATGAACGAAGATGAGTTATTACTGTTACAATCATTAGTATCAGCATGTCAGTCGCATGATTATCAAGCATTGCTGGAATTGGAAGGAGAATTATGGCCATATTTGACTGCCGAACAAAAGGAGTTATTTCATAAGTTGATCCAAGTGCTAACTACACAATGAATAAGAGATGTCAAGTTCCGAATAAATGAAAATAATACAATTTTATCTACTTTCATTTATCTGACAACCCAAAGAAGTATCCCTCTATTTTATGCAATACTTATGATGAAATCTAACGTTAACGAATCCTGTTAAAAATTATTCGATGTTGCAACCGATGACCGTGTGTCATCGTTCTCTCTCCGTTATGAAGACAGGTGATAGGCGAACAAGTGGACAGCATCTGTGTGAAAGGAAGAACTTGTTGGCGCATAAAACAAGGACTCAAGGTGTATAAGTATGCGTACTTCTACGAACAGTATTACGTACGATGGTATTGTAGAAGAGGGGATGGTTCACGTTCCACGCACGTTACTAAACTCTGCTTTCCTGTATCAGAAGACGACAACGCAAGTAGCAGAGTCAGGCCAGAGTCAGAGTACTCCGAGATTACACGGCCGCGTCCTCGAACTGAATTCCTCAGTTTTACTGTGCTGGCAATTGTATTTCATTCAGGTAACAATTAATATATTATTTTCTATCTGGAAATGTATTCTCTACATTATCTTCTCATCTCGTTTTTTATTTAATTAGAATTTTGCACTTTTGATATAATTAAATACATCTGTAGCATTAATTGCGTAAAAATTAATAAGATAAAAAACTTTATATTGTTCACGCTTATTCGTATTGAATAAAACACCGTAAAAGCTTTGGTATTTAATACGCTATGAGAATCCCGCGTTGGTATTTCGACTTTAACGGTACCGTTAAATTCGTTGGCTGAGCATTGTACATTTATTTTATATAGGCCCCTGTTACAACTTAAATAATACTCAGCTGTACAATATAATTATATAATAACATACACCACGTGTTTTAATGACCATGAACTCGGGTTGATCCAGGTGAATGTCAGGAACACCTGCATTGCTTTAAGGATGTATTGGCTATACAGTCAATCCCAAAAGTTTATGTACCTTAGAAAAACGCATTTCCTATAATTAAAAAGAAATCAGACGTCGGAAGAACAATGCTAATAATAAATAGCTATGTGCTAAAAAGTATAGAAGGAAATATCCAATTAATTATTGACGTCGGCGAAAATTTTTTTATATAGAAATTGTGGGCGTCTTCTATAACAAAAATTCTATGAATTTCTCTTCTAACTTCGATATTTAACCAGTTACGTATGATTATTTGGCATTTTATTGATGTTGACAAAATCCGACCATCCCAGCATCGAAACGGCGAACTTTTGGCAAAAAATTTCGTTTTTCCTTAATTACTCCTAAACCGTTGAATCTACGGGAAAATTGTATATGATCTTTCTTGTAGAGGACGACGAGATCTACAATTTCTGTATAAAATAACTTCGCTAGCATCAATATTTAACGAGTTATTGACGAAAAACGAAAAAACAGTTTTTTGCAAATTACTCGTTAACTATTGACGCTGGCGAAAAATTTTTACATGGAAATTATAGATCTCGTCGTCCTCTACAAGAAAGGTCATATGCAATTTTTCCGTATGTCCAACGGTTTGGGCGTTATTGGCCAAAAACGAAAATTTGGAAGAAATTGAAGAGATACAATGGGAAGGGGGAAGCAATGTTCTTCCGACGTCTGATTTCTTTTGAAAAAATGCGTTTCTAAAGTGCATAAACTTTTGGGATTGACTGTATAGCCAATACATCCTTAACGCATACCGTTGCCCAAGGGCAGGTGGATTTTGTTTTAATTACTTCGATTACGAATAGCAAAAATATATTATAATTTCTTGCTGATAGGAATATGACCAAAGATTGGAAAACTATTTTCGTAACCGGTGGGGCCGGTTACATCGGTAGCCACTGCATCGTCGAGCTCTTGGAAAGCGGGTACGACGTTGTCGCAATAGATAATTTCGTTAATAGCGTAACAGAAGCAAGCGGTGAATCCGCCGCTCTTAAAAGGGTGGAGCAAATTACGGGGAAGAAAGTTGCATTTTACAATTGTGATCTTCTCGATCGCGACAAACTGGAAATAACTTTTAACAAGGTACAACGAGAATGATATAAACTATTTCTAGAGCTAACAGCTATAATTGAAATTTTAGCACAAAATAGACTGCGTAATTCATTTCGCGGCAATAAAGGCAGTCGGTGAATCGATGCAAGTTCCGCTCCATTATTATCGAAATAATATTATCGGTGCCATTAATTTACTAGAGGTAATAATTGATAAAATCTTTTCGTATACTACAAAGAATAATAAACTAAATTTGTTTCCAAGGTGATGAAAGCTGCTGGGTGCTTTCAATTAGTTTTTAGTAGTTCTTGTACGGTGTATGGAGAGCCACAAGAACTCCCGATTACGGAAAACCATCCGACGGGAAATATTACAAATGTATACGGTAGAACGAAGTATTTTATCGAAGAAATGCTTAAAGATATAACACGCGCTGAAAAAGTACGTTACAATTTACATTTATCTAAAAAATGTTTATATAGCAAATTAAACAAAGTTATTATTTCATTCATCAGAGTTGGAATATCATTTCCCTGAGATATTTCAATCCGGTAGGTGCTCATGAAAGTGGTTTGATCGGAGAGGATCCTACGAAATCCTTTACGAACCTGATGCCTTACATAGCGCAAGTAGCGTTAAGACACAAGCCGGAACTTGTTATTTTCGGAGGTGATTACCCGACAAAAGACGGTACAGGTACATTTCATTTCTTTTTATGCAAATAACTACAGTTTAAAAGAATATATGTATATTTTTGTAAGATGCGTATTCTTATTATAGGTATACGTGACTACATTCATGTAATGGATTTAGCCGCTGGTCACGTAGCAGCCTTGAATGCTTTATGCAAACGACATTCGAGACTAAAAATTTATAATTTGGGTACTGGCAAAGGTGTATCGGTACTTGAATTGATTAAAATTTTTGAGAGTGTGACAGACACGAAGATACCGTATGTCATAAAAGAGAAGAGGGATGGAGACATAGTTTCCATGTACGCTAACATAGAATTAGCCGAGAAAGAATTAGGATGGAAGTCTAAGTACAACGTTGAACGAATGTGTAAGTGAAGTAATACTTTATCCCTACGTTATAATATGTTTTCAAACAATATTTTTCAATTTAGGCGAAGATTTCTGGAGGTGGCAACAAATGAATCCACATGGTTACCGTACCCCCGTTAAAAATGGCATTAACGAACATATAAATGGTACTTCATAACAATATGATTTCATCGTCGTTAGCGCATCCTCTTTTATTTAATTATGATAATAAAAGGTAGAAGTAAAAAGAATACCTGTTGTTCTCTTGAAATTTAATATTAATCAATCGATTTATTTACATCGATGTTTGCTTGAGTTTCTTTCGTTTCTTCTACTACCGTATATAATGATAAATGTTGAAACTTCAACACTTCAAGACCCCAACTTGCCCATCCGGGTAATAAGTATCTTGCAAATATTTCTAAACACTTTGGTTCACTTGGTAAATATTCTCTCATAATTTCTATAATTTCAAAGTAATATTTTTACACACCGCTTCATTAACTTTTGTTTAATATACGTAACGTATTGTCAGTACCTGTCAGCGGTGGTTTATGAGAGTGCACTGCACTTGGTACACTTATTAACAATTTCCCTTCGGGGATATCTATTTCATTACCATTTAGTACAGAACCAAGAACTAATAATTCGTAAGGCTGTTTACCAGGCGCGAAATTAAAATTACATATTGTATCTCCTGCTTGAGTAATCTAGAATTTGAATAGAATGAAATAAAGTTCATTCTTTTTAATTAACATACATACATACTTTAACCCAATACCACTTTGCTCTATAAGTAATACCCCACGATGGAAATATATTATTAAAAATGCTATGTAGATGGCTTGGAGCATTGGTACACCATATTGCTACAAGTCCATTTGAGCATAGTAATTTCCCAATTGGTATCTTGGCCAACTCATCGTTGTACATCATTTTATAACTGTTCAACAAATAAATATAAGATACTATTAATGTAATTATTTAGAGCAAATTATTATTAAGAATGAGAAAAACATATTTGAAGATAAGAGGATAGTATGAATTTTTGATGCTGAAAAGTTACGCCTGAAATCTTATTTACCCATATGCTCAAAAAACTGAGAGCAAGAAAAGCTTATACTATTATTAAAGTACTCGTTCTCGTTATGAAACCATACAAGATCACCTAGCTTGTGAGTATTTGGTTTTTTTCCTCCTTATGGACTTGTTCCACCAAGGAGGGTCCAACAATATGAAATCATATTGGTTGCTCAGCTCCAGCTTGTTTGCGATATCTCTCACATCGTAGCAATGAAATCTGCATTTCTCAGGAAAGACATACTCTTTCTTCTTCAATTCAGATATAATAGCTACATCTGTGTCATTACAACCATAAAAATTCTTTTCCTCATCATAAAAAGTGTCTTGGTAAAACTTTTGCGATTCCAAACGTGCACCTTCATTGTTATCAGACAATATATTAGCCGAAAATAATCCTTCTGCTTTTGCAGTTGAAATTATTTTACTGAACTTTTGTGTAATATCATTTATCTACAAACACATATTACGATGAATGAAACAATCCTGTTCAATCGTTGAACTATAAGATTCACATACTTCTTTCAAATCTTCGTCCGGTAAAAGTTTCGATCGTTTTCGTTTTCTAATTTTGCTTTGAATCGAACAACCCTCATGCTGATCGGATTGAGTTGTCTGATTGTGTCGCAAGTATTGCGAATTGATTTCGAACAGTATCTCATTAAAACTTAGCTTATACTGCGTATTGTTATTCTTTACGTTCGTGTAAATGTTATTAAGATATTTTAAATGGGATATGATCCATCCTTCTTTGATGGAGAAGATCACGCTCATACTTCACTGCATACACAATTAAAACTGTTCCACATTATTAACTCGATTTACGTCCAGTGCATGGTTGCATGCACAGGCTCTTGAAAAAAAGTTTGCTCTCGATTGCTTTAGACACATTTTCTCAATATGTAATTGTTTTCATTACTTTCAAAAGTTTTATTCATCAAATTAATATCGTACTTTTGAGTTTAATAAAAAAAAACCGCATTTACACATGGCCTATCATGCACTTACATACATATCTTCTGTACTTATATATAATTATAATGTATTGCTATAGTAACGTGAACGTGTATATACATAAGTTCAAACATGGCGATTGTGTGAATAAATAGAGTCTAAAATGTGTAATTGATCATTCTGTTTAATAGCTACATTAAATCTGCTTTTAATTGAATAAAGTACAAACATTAAATAATTAGAATTAAAAGAATATACGCAAGAGATATAAAAATGAGGATCGCTGTAGAAGGTTGTGCACACGGTGAATTAGATATTATTTACGAAACTATTCAAGAAATGGAAAAAACAAGTGGCCAGAAGATAGATTTGCTGATTTGCTGTGGCGATTTCCAGTCGACGAGAAATTTAACCGATTTAAATTGCATGGCTGTACCTAATAAGTATAAGGATATGTGCAGTTTCTATAAGTGAGTTCAATTGCTTTTTCTATTAGTATTTTCAAAACTAGTTCGAGAACTTAAGAAAATGTTGTGTTATTATAGATATTACTCCGGTGAGAAGATCGCTCCTGTGTTAACAATATTTATAGGTGGAAATCATGAAGCTTCTAATTATCTTCAAGAGTTACCATACGGAGGATGGGTAGCACCTAATATTTACTATTTAGGATATGCCAGTGTAGTGACAATAGCTGGTGTCAGAATAGCAGGCTTATCAGGCATTTATAAAAGTCAGCATTGGATGCAAGGACGTTATGAAAAACCACCTTATACCGAGAATACAATTCGAAGTGTCTATCATATTAGGAATTTAGAAATATTTAGGTTGAAGCAGGTAATACGTGTTCGTTATTCATTTGTTTGAATAAAACAAAGTATAAAATGATTATTTTTATTGTACAGCTTACTGGTAATATCGATGTTTTCTTATCACACGATTGGCCATCAGGCATAACTAAATATGGAAATGAAAATGTTTTATTGAAAGGAAAACCTTTCTTCAAGTAAGTCCTACATTAATGATCAGGTTTCTATAATGATTCTTTCCAAAAATGTAGTGCGTCATTATTATGATAGGAATGATATCGAAAATAACATGCTTGGTAGTCCACCAAGTATGGAACTGTTGGAACATCATTATCCAAGTTATTGGTTCTCTGCGCACTTACACTGTAAGTTTGCAGCTCTTGTTCCTGAGAAAGATGGGACAAGAGTAACTAAATTTTTGGCACTGGATAAGTGTCTTCCAAAAAGGAAATTCCTTCAAGTATTGGAAATGGAACATAATCCAGATTTACCACTGAAGTTGCATTACGATCTAGAATGGTTAACAATATTGTACCTGACGAATCATTTGTTAAGCGTTAAGAGTGGAATACATTATATGCCTGGACAGTATGGTAACACTAGATGGGTGTTTACGCCAACTGCAGAGGAAAAAGAAATGATACTAAAAAAGTTTAATTGCAATTTGGAAATTCCACTGAATTTCAAGCAAAATGTTAAACCGTATAATCCTAACATCGCAGATGCTCCGTTTGAGCCACCACAATTATTGATAAATAATCAAACTACGCAATTTTGTAATATTCTGGGCATTGATGACCCATCCGAATTACTGTCATTAATGAACAGTTCGAGAGATTCCAAGTCGAACGAATTATTAATGGATACATCGTTTGAAGTGTCAAGTTCTCAGGAAATTTCTGTTGCGTTCGATGAAGATAATGTTTCGAGTTCTACATTCGACAGAAGTTCAAACGGTGATTCATTTGGTCAGACATTAAATTTATCTCTTAGTAATGAGGAACAGGAATTAGAAGTGAATAGCAGCAAAAATGTTACAGACGAAAGCTTTATCAGCTTATCATCAACGGCAAATTACGATTGTACAAATAATAGTAAGTGCTATACAACTC